TCAGCCAAAGTGACGAGGCGCCCTATACTCGTTCTCGTGTTTTAAAGGATCGAAAATACAAGACTCGCACTTTTTGCGAGCCAAGAAGATACGAGGGAAAAACTCTCTCTCTCTCTCTGTATTAGCATCGAAAGTTTTGACACATTCTACGTCGCGCATTCATCTTATATGAGAGCGAACGACATTTGACGGTTTTTCTCTGGCGTAGCGAAATCTCGCGACGTCGAAAGTATGCGCATTAGACTATTTCGATATTCGCAGCCACCCACAAGAGAAGAGAGAAAGAGAGTCACGCTTATCACTTATATAAGTTCGTCACCTCTTTGCAGATCCGTGCATGCACGGGAAAAGCGGATATATACGGGATAGAGAAAAGCCTGCGTGACAGCGACACATCCCTGCTGTTAAAAGTTGCATACGAAAGAGAACAATATTGGCAGGGAGACGTTACAATATGGACATAGATAGGAGCAAATAAGATTTACGTCGCATTCCATCCATCATCGCGAACTGCTTTCTCATCTCGCATTGATCCCGCTCGCAGTTTGCGAATCGAATATTAACGAGAGCTCGAGGATATATATATATATATATATATATATATCTCGCCGTAATTAATCTTAAATCGCAAGAATCGCGCAAGTTTCCATCCCGACGATCTTTAAAGCGCGAAACAGAGACATATATAGCGCGCAAAATAATACATCCGAAAAATTTCCCTCCGACTCTCAACGTCATTCCGCTTCGCGAGATGAAATAATCTCTAAATGTCTCCAGAGCGAAAGCGACGTCAGTCGCACTGACAAGTGCAAACCGGTGCAAACAGGTGATTACCGAGAGATTGCTACGTTTACGAGTTTTAAGTATCGTTTGCAGAAAACCTAGTACATTGCAATTCTTAGTTTATTGCAATCTTAATCCGCAATAATGTCTGTAAAGGTAAATATAGAAAAAGTAATGTATATATATATATATATAATAGTTAATAGTAATTGCTATTTTATTAAAAAAGTAACACAATTTATGTGCCGCGACGGCACATTTATATTTTGCAAGAATTCTTTCCGCTAAATCATAGGCAAATCTTTTTTATACTTTTTCTTCTCTACCCTCTACTATAATTCTTCTAACAAAATTATCTAGTATTCCATTCATTATAAGAATTAAGATAAGTTGTAATAAGTTTTTGTTTCGCGAATGTTTGACAGTAACTACTTAATTTAGCTGTAGCCAACATTTTTTGCGCTTTGTATGAAAAGAGAGAGAGAGATTAAATCTATTTTGAGAAGAAGAATACAAACTCGTGCTTAAATTATCGAGAGCATAAAAAGGCAACAAAATAAAGAATCCCAACATTTTAAATATAATTCTTAGTTTTAAAACGTTACAAACTCAATCTCACGGTATGTCAAGTTCTTTTAATTTATTTCTGCGGCGACTGTAGAATACAATAGTTCGCTCAGCACCTGCAGGCGTCGTCGTTTCTATCTAGCCACGACATGACCCCCTGATGACGACGAACAAGGATGCTTGTGGAAAGCGATGGTATCGTCAATTCTCATTGCTCTCCACTATACAGTTACTTTCTTCAGGAGCAAGAGTGTATGCGAGTATAGCTGCACTCGAGAGCTGCACTTTACTTGTAATAAATTTATTACAAGCAGCATATTCTCTGCAATTAGCAATATGTATATTTAGCGATTATAGCTTATATTATTAAAAAATATCGTTGGCGATAATTATGAGACAGCAACAAGTTAATTTATATTTCATATATTCGGGACAATTGGAATATATGTTTTATCATACGGCAATTTGTTGCTATCGATATTTTATATATATATATGCATTCGTTCTTAATAATTAAGATCGATTATGCTGACAAAAACATTGCCAGAATAATGGAAATATACTGCGATTGGAATAACGTTGCTCCGAATTTGCTGGATCAAATTTCCCAGTCTATTGCATAGCTTTGCTGTAAAATTTTTCTCCCGGGAAAACTTGCGGAATAGAATATTGCCCGGTGGCGTATATACGACAACCGGGTTGCCGTGCTTGCAAACCATATGGTCATCAGCTATTTTTTACATAAGCTTGCACTATAATGCAGAAACTTGCAAAGTTCAAAGTCTGTAATCCGACTCCTCCATATATCGATGGCAAAACAGTTAATCAAAATGTAGAACCTTCATGCCGGGTACTTTCCTAAGAGTTTCCCCAAGATTGAGAGAATGAAGATATAATAAAACGATAAAGTAATGAAATAAAAAATACAACCCACACGAAGATATTTGTTTCAATTATCGCTAACCGAACAACGCTCTTAAAATTTTACGTGTTCTGTTTTTTTTTTTTTGCTTTTATCATAAGTTCTCGAAGAATCGCAGTACGAGTTACGTTATCGCTGGTGGTATAATCCAGTTTTGGCGAAAATTTGGATACTTTGGCGAAGGAATGAAATTTCGTGGGAAGATTGCCGTTCGACTTTGGAAAAGGTGCCGTTGACGGAAACGTCGATTAATTACACAAAGCCGCGGAGCGAAGCGTGTTTGCGAATTCGGAGACCTGGCAGATGCAGCCGCAGCGGGCGCACATTAGAGCGTGTAACGGGATGAAAGCCCGTGCGAGAGGGAGGCCAACGCACGTCTGCCACATCGGTCGATGATTCAAGAGTTACCGCTTTTCCCCAGCCCCCTCTCTCTCTCTCTCTAAAGCAAAGTAAAATTTATAGCACGTAATATCATTACGTCCAATCACCCCCGATTTCATTCGCGTCGATTCGAATATCAACTTCCGGTCGGCGAAAGAAAGAGCGCAATATCCTCTTTTTGATATAGCGCGCGAGGGAAATTCGCGTGCTAAAATAAAATTATCCGCCGACGGTTTCATAGTCGAGACAGCGAGTGTATATGTATGTGTAACCGCGCATAATATATCGGGTATCCCGCCGTGTAATATATCGGATAACTGTCAGACGGATATAGCGAAAGTTTCGCCTTCCCGCTTAAGACGCACTTAAGCGATTTTGCGTTTCTCAGGGATAACGCAGATGCTAGTTTTGCGTTCACCGGAGTCGAGAGAGAGAGAGAGAGAGAGAGGGCGATGCATCTCGCATTAATGTATTCCTTGTGCATCCCCGGGCTGCCGCCACGTGGGTTTAACGCGGAGATTCGTAATAATTTATCTTCCGTTAGGGAGACGTTTAAAAAGTTTAAAATTTATTTAAACGCTTTAGATACGGGGGTGTCGTGGAGCCCCCGACACGCGGGACCAATTGTTTCGTTTAACGATAATGCGCCGCGCAAATAGACAGCGTTGAGAACAATTTAACCGCGCTCGAGACAACAGAGATTGCAATTTCCGGATCAAAGCGATGCCTGGTTGCCAATTAGACGATTCAACCAACTTCCGCAGCCCAAAGCTTGGAAAATCACAGGGCAATGATTACGCAACGCCAATCTACGCGCGTCTGATGGGGAAAAAAACAAGCGAAATTATCTTTAAACGACGCTCAGCTATAAGCCTCTATTCGATCGATATCATCGAAAGATCGATGTATAATGGCTATTTTATACGACAATAAAATAGTCGTTATACAACGATTTATCGCCCCTTTGACGGTTAATAGTCTTCTTTAAATCTTTATAAATAAATGCGTACGATTTGTCTGTATGAGAGATTTATGTCATTTATGTGTATACATATATATATTTCTAAAACATATAATATAGGGTTCTAAATTAAGTTCTTTTGTGAAATTCTCTCTGATTTCATTGAAGAGCGGTATAAATTGGATGCAGCGTTCGCAAGGAAAGCAGTGAATTAAGACTAGAGAAGCTTAAACTCGATTGTAACAAATGGCAATTCTAACATTCCGCAATACTCGAGACGGAAGAGTCAGAAAATTATCAAACTTGTAGTTTGGCGAAACAGAGCAGAAATTTTCATTGTTACTTTCTTATATTTGTAAAAGTTAATAAATGATCACGATGATCATTTCCCCTTTATTTAGATAGTGCAATTGCATACATAAAAGTAGAATACCGAGAAACTGGAGAACCATTTTCTCAAGACTCGTTTTGGTTTTCGATGAAGAGAAGAAAAGACAACTTTTTTATATCTATAAAATATTTTAATCCTTGGATTAAAAGAATGTTAATTTCTCTATTTCAATCCAAGTTGTAAAATATTATATTCGAGAAGAAAAAGAAAGGAGATTAAAAATTTATGTTTCATAATAGTTTGTAATTAAAAATAAATATTTTTCTATATAGAATATTGAAATTCTGATGTAGTGTTTACACTAACTACACGAATAACAGCAATCATGGTTTCTTGTATTTATAACATAATTTTGTAGCGAGCAATCAAAATTCGATTGAAATTGTTACAACCGCTGCCAAGCTGCTTCGACTTTGATTAAAAAATGCATATCAAATATCAATTAAATGCCAAATACAACATTCTGTTTTTTTTTTTTTTTTTTTTTTACAACAATAAAAACATCCTCCTTGAAACTTTATACTCGCAAAGAAATATAACTTATTGCTTTAGCATCGCGAACAATTTAATTTCTTGTTTGAAAACGTTTAAGAAGATTAATATAAATAGTAATGCAGAGACGCAGCAAAGTTTTCCATGACATCAAGAGATGATGTATTCCGAATTTGCTACTCGATTTCCATTTTTAAACCTACGAGTTATCTTCTCGATTGTCGAGGAAATGAGATTATTGTTGTATAATTGTATTTAGATACTTTGAATGAAAATTGTAATGAGTTGTTGAGAACGTTTTCAGCTGATAAAATTATCCGTCCCTCGGCAAACGTCTTGGCATAAGTCCTCCAACTTGAGCAATTATACACAGACTCCTGCGCGAACGAACAAAACTCATTCCGCTTTACGCCTCTCTCTCTATCTCTCGCCGGCGCGTTTACCGAGGTAATAAAGACCACGCTATATAAAGACGGCAAGAACGAAAGGCAATCAGCACTTACGTGTCCGTGTGATTCCGCGAGAATGGATGTCGGGTATCGGAGCCTCACTCGTGACTGGTCATACCGGAGAATATACACATACACACACACACCTACACGTACACCTATGCCACACTTTCTTCTCTTCTTTCTTCCCGCGGGTCAGGAGTGAAACTTAGAATCGTGGGGTATAAATCACAGGTTTCAACACCGGGGCATCGGGGGTTTATATCGTTTTCCCTCAGATAGAGTCTTCAAGTTCCTTCTTCACTCGGATCATCCTCCACCGTGTCAGAGCGAGCAGTCCCCTAATTCGTTTCCTACTCTCTTCTCTCCTATCCGATAAATCGCATACACTATAATATAGATATGTTTCTCTCAGCAACTGTCGATTCGTGTTTCGCTGATCGTACGTCTTAAATGTCTCGGATGAATATGCTAACGCGAGGCTATAGGCAGCGTGGAAAGTACAACCGATCGTCACCGATGTGAATGAAAGGGGGTGACGAAAGAAAATTGCGCGCCCTCGTCGCTTGAGCGCAAACACCCCGTATCGCGAGGTGAACGAACGGTGTGCAGCCCGTAACCCGACACGAGTCGAACTCGCTGCCTCCTCGGGACGGTGGTTGAGGACGCCGACGCCGCCGCTGCCGCCGACGCCGCCGACGCCGGCGCTGCCTGCTGGGGGTCACGAGGGTGGCTCCGGCTTCGCGACTGCGCCCTCTTTATTCTCTTCAACCCATTACGTATCTCGCACACGCGTGACCATGAGACAACACGCGTCGCTCTTTACGCGTACACCGTACACGCGCGTGTGTATGAAGAGAGAGAGCCAGCCTCTCTATCCCGTCTCTCGTTTTATCTCCTTCTCGCTGCGTATATCTCTGAGGCCCCAGCCACCCCCATCCACAGTCCCGGACCGTGTCTCTCACCACCGCAACACGTAGCCCTGTATAGTGGCTTTCTCTCTACTCTCTCCTCGCATCCTCGATTGTACTCTATATCTCGCGACGTATACATCACTATATCGCTTTATCTCCCGTATTATATATATAGCGTTTTATTAATCAGAAATCAAGTGTAGTTTCTTCGGATCCTCCTTTTTCTCTGCCAGTTGCGGGCGTTTTGCCAATTGGATGATACTTGTCTTTTTTAGCGACTCTTGTTTCGATTATTCGCGTTCGATGTACCATTTCTTTCAACACTTAATGGCCACTACTGTCGGATCCATGTCATTGTGCCGCTTAGAACGTTTTCTATTAACTGTCACGCTCGTTGCTTCCAACCTCGTGTCCTCGATGTAGTATGCGCGTTTGTGTCGTTCTTTTATCCACGTTCCTTTTTCATTCGTTCAGTTTTCCACATTTTTACAATGACATTTCTTTGGCTTTACATCGACGCATACGTCAACTCGCGTCTACATAAGAATAGTAACGTTGCGCGCAATTTTCCTCCAACTGGATATGAAGTGTTCTTTCCTCTGATTTTGCTCCCGATCGCGGAAAAACGTATTCATAATACGCATTTGAATACTTATTTCTGTTGTTTGGGAACAATCCTGGGAAAGAAATTTAAGGAGATGAAAAAATTGGCTGGTTGAAAATATACAATGAATACATGTATGAAGATTTAATAATCTGTTTTAAAAATTGTAATATGTATATTACGTTTCCAACATTTTTAACTGATACTTATCCTTGAAAATTGAAAAATGCAAGCAATTATTTAAATTCGAACAATGATTTACAACTAAATCTTTCAACTTTGCTAAGCCCTTGTTGTAAAAAAAAACTTGCAATAAAGAAGAATTATGTCGCTTTCAATAGTATATATCTATATAAATATAAGGAGATATTTGTACACAGAGAGACAACACGAGAAACAACTTCAGCGCGCTTGTAATATTCAGATTGTTTGAAAAAGCTAACTTACCTCGTGCGCTTTAGAATCAACGCTAAGATTTAACGACGGACATAAACTTTTATAAGGATCTTATTAATGATTGCATTTTATCGTGAAAACTGTTTTTATAGTTTTTCTTTATGACATACTCCATGCAGTATTTTACGTATTGTAGTCCGTGATGCTCTTACATATAAAATGTTAAATGCATACTAAATGCATTGATGTAATCATCAAAATAGTACTTTTGTAAGGCCTTTATAATACTTTAAAGCTTTGTGCGAGAATGAAGAAAAAAATTAATCGAAAACGAAATAATTTCTAATTAATTTCGAACGATCCTCTAGCGATTTATCTCTCTCGATCCTACAAAGAAGAACAAACACTAATATAATTTTCGGACAGTCTATAAATGATCGCTACGTAAATAGAGGCAAAGGCACATTTCATTCGAAAGGTTAATAGATATTTGCGCGGTTGCCTAAAATGTTGAATACGCTTGTTAAAACGAGCATATTGGCAGACTAATACCGAGGAAATTAATACCGAGGCATATGTTCCGAGCAGACCTGCCTAACCAGCGCATTGGTGGTACGTCGCAATCGAATCCGTAGCTGGTTGTATGCACACCGGTATGCGTGAGTGAAAGGCAGAGAGAGAGAGAGGAAGCGAGCACAAAGTCCATGGAGGGTGCCGGTCGGATGATATACTGGATACCGGTCCGCGTGGTAACGGCATGGTGGTTACAGATAAGGAACAGGTCGCGGGGGATGGAGACGGTACTAATTTAGTAAGCGCGGCGAACGAGAGGGTAGCGGCAATATCCACTTCCGGCTTCGTGTCTGCGAAGACGGAAGTAACGCGCCGCCCTGCGAAGACGCTTTAAATTTAATTTAATAGGACACCGATCGCCGCGGCGATGTTTTTCTATTCATTCCGCGCAAAATATAAATAAATTCATGCGACACTTTCCCTAAAGACGGATACGTGGCGATATTGAATAAAATAAAGTGATGTAAAATATTCAGAAGCCAAATCCCCCGAAATATCGATGCTGTCGAAACAAAGTGCGTCTGAAATATTACTTTGATGACGCTCCGAATTTAATATCGAAATTTTTATTCGTTTAATGTAAAATATCAAATATCGCGAAAATCGTGAGAGGGATTATTTGAATCTATTTGACGATAATTTCCTAAAAACGAAAACACGTCGATGCGTTTCTCGATAATATTTTCCCCCAAAAGTATTTGACGTTGTCGGATATTTCCCGCGCAAGAAGCCGATACTCCGCAATCCCGAAATATCGTAAATATCCTAGTAACACCCGCGCGTGCGGATAACGTTCGTAAGCGTAGGTAGGTTGGTCGAGCATATTTTATCCCGCGCGCGCATTCGCATACGCCGCGAATTGGGTGACTATGACGAAACGCGAAGGATTTCTCCCAGCCAAGGGGATGTAGCCGGAGATTCGTTTCCCGCGCGCCTCGCTGTCAAAACGCTGGAGTTTCGCACGCGGAAGAGTAAAGTAGGATACTGTGCCGAATGGTTACATAGATAAGAGAACACCGGCGCGGGAGAAGAGAGAATGAAATAAAGACCGAAAGAGAGAAAGAGAACGCAAAGTTTGAGTCCTCCTCGTTCTCTCCCGCTACTTTGGCCTCTTTCCTTTTTGGCCCCGGATTTGCTCGACGCGCGCGCGTAGGCACATCTGCGACTTCCGTGTGTCGCGAAGAAAAAGAACTCGGAGAGAGATCAGCGGAATTTACTCCAGTGGATTGCGAGCACGCGTCTCTCCGACCAATCGGCCGGGCGCGTGACAGAAATGGTGTCTTCTCCAAGTATCATCGCGTATACCAGGCTCTTCGGCCTGGGAGTAACGACTTTATGACACGAGGAATATTCGTACAGCGACAAGGACGTTGACGAGGGAGGATCTCTGACGGGGTTGCATCTGCTGTTTGATTAAGGGAGGGAGCCAAACGGTGTATGTACAAATTCCGTTGAAATATACAGCATGTGTGCATGTACGTGGCAGGCGACGTAGATGTATACAGTCGCGAAATCGTGAATATTCCATCAGTAATCAGTCGCGTTTCAATAACGTCGCAGTTCACCAGAATGGCCCAGGAATTACATATTGACTTACACGTGCCTTGTGCCTCGGTGCTTAACAATTGTTCGCGATGCAACTCGCGATGCTGATAAGCGCGACCCGACGAAAGCGATAATGTCGTCCGGGACCGGGAGTCTTATGCTAATTACGCGCGGACGAGAGAGAGAGAGAGAGAGAGAGCGCATTATATATGCAATTTCCCTCTTTCTCTCCCTCTCTATCTCTCGTATATACGATATGCTGGAATAAAAGCGCGCGTGCGCTTCTATTACAACAACGTCGCGTTATTATGGCATTATGCAAACATTGTTCGCTCGCTCGCACTTTTCGCACGCAACTTCTCCTTCGCCAGTCATAAAAGAAGAATGCGGATGCGATATGGGGTAGGAATATACCGGGTATTAAGCATCGACTTGGAGATTATTCGTCTCGTATGCGAGATAGCGAAATATCGGGCGCAACATTGAATTAAAAAATCCCCTTTTTGCGCTACGCATAATACTTCCCAAAGGCATCCGCGCGCGCTCTAGCGTACGTATACATATACGCGTAATAAAACATGATACCACGGTGGTGCACGTATGATTAGCTGTTTCATTAGCCAGCGGGTGCTTATTCGGCTTTTAGATCAGTGCACAGCGCGGGCCGTAGCTTCCAGCGAATCGCGGTATAGCTCGTTTATGCTCCACCGTGTATTTTGTACTTGTCCATTTGCTTACACGCGTTTCCACTACACGCGTCGTTACGAGGAGTTAGCTGCCGCCATTGGTCCCTAGTGTCGTCGTTGCCCGTCGCGTGTTAATGTCCGTGTGCGCGTATACATGTATCTCGAAGGATGACCAATTCCTTTATGCACGTACGTTACTAAAACTTGGTATTGATTAGCGAGGAAGAAGAAATAATTGCGAACAAACGAGGGAAATTAGGTCTAGATGCAGATTCGATCCTAAATATAATTCCAATTCCATTGTATCTAAATATAGATTCGACCCTAGAGCAAGTGCGAGGCTAAATTTTACGCGGGGTCAAACTGCGATTATATTATCGAATCGTGAGTTCGACAATAGGGAACAACGCTCTTAGCTAGTCGAACTAAATATAAGCAAAACACATCGATACAATCTGACTCATAATTGTAAAACTTTGCAAGTCCCGGTATTCCTTCATCAACGCTTCGTATATCTTCAAGTTGTCTTGTTTCGAAACTACAACGAAAGAGATTATTTCTTATTAAACTTAGTTGGGCAAATTCTATAATTAACGCAGGATAGTAATTATCAGCTGAATAATGTACATCCAACGAGCAAATCGAACGAATCGCCGACATCACCGAAGCAGCATAGATATAGACACTTGGCATTAGCCTAAATTAGGCTTATACGGTAAGCCCAGATGTAAGGGATACGTCGGCCGACGGTTCTCGACCGTTTCCGTCGAGGTATCTGTAAATTCTATAAGTTACATATTGCGGGAGAAGTTTGTTGTAATCTGCCAACTTCGTAACTCAAGTGTCTTTGTATAGCCGTGCTAGGGGCATCGTCGAGCGGGAGAGTGCGCGCTGCATCAAAGTAGTATGAAATAACTTTCGCGAGTCCGTAAAGTTTCCTTACCGGTCGAAAATTATTTCCAAGAGCTCGAGTTTCTCAAAGTAATGTCTCGTCGACTAACTATGACGTTTGCATTTTCATGTCGAAGGGTAATTCTCCAATTATGACCATTGATCCGTGTACAACTCACTCCACTTTCACAAGATGCGAGAAGAGATCATACTGGCGCAAACTTTAGAGAATGATAAATAGAACGAAATTAAGTGTCTCCCGTATAATAAACATATAGAGATCGATTCTAATAATATTCCATTTGTTTGTACGTATATACAAAATGTTTTGTTCCGAGGAAAAATTCCTCTAATATTTTCGCGATGTAGGAGAAAAAAATTCCATCGGATGAAATGAACCGTATATATCTTACAAAAGCTTTTACCAAATAACACACGCCATTTGACTCCAATGTAACTATCGTCTCGGCAGCGTCAAGGATAAAAAGTAAGAAATCCCTTTCTACTTTTTCTTTTTTTTTTTTTTTTTTTTTTAGTTTAGACGTAACGCAGACCACACGGTTCCGGCATAGGAATCGCGTCACGTAACAACCGATTCCCCTGACGGCGTAGCGAGAAAGCGAACAGGAAGTAACACGGAGTTCGTAACTCCTTGGAGCTCGTTGGAACTGGTAACATCTTTGCTACTTCTCGAGTGACAACGGCGGAACGGGTTGGAATGGTATAAAGCGACGCTCCTGTCGCAACACGCACCTTCCAATACACATATTCGCAGTCTGAAGCTTTGATCTTTCACCTATCGCGATGCCATGAGATATCGGACGAAAGGGGCAGGAGGAGCTTCCTCTACCGAACGACGGACGTTCGAACATCCTTTTTGCTACTTTTGACGCAAGTGGCTTTGACTTCGTTGGCCGAGTTCGCGTTCTGGAACGTCGAGGGAAGGAAAGATGGCGCGTAAAGGAATCGTATTTCTTCGCTCGTGAAATCAAATTCTCTCAGCAACATTGCGCTCGGATGTCATTTCGCCGGCAGCGTTATAATTATTCGTCGCGTTTGTAAAATCCGTCGTTGAACGGTGAATGAAAACGCTGATAAATGCACGTCGAACCAGAGAATTATATCGCGCGATATACACACACACACACACACACACACACACACATATATATATATATATATATTATATATATATATGTGTGTGTGTATATATAATATTATCCTTTGTTTAGCGAGAACGCGAACGATTAATGCAATATCGACGTATCAATGTCGAAATGCTCGTTAATCCATCGGCAACGATAATTTTTGACCTAATTGCTCGATCATCTTCGACGAGCTCGAAATTTGATATTCACACGCGCGGATAATATTGTCAGCTAGCTGTGTGCCAAGCATTATTTCTGTTATAAGAGGATAATTTAAATAAACGTATGCGCGCTCAATGTTACAAGCGCTTTAGTGTCGCGCGGCGATAATTATTGCGCGTTTCTCCGGTGTTCATTTAATATTTCAAGCATGCCGTAAACAAAAGTGTCGGATTTTCCGATATGGCGGTTGTATTGACCGGACGCGAAACGAGCGCCCAACATTTTCCGATCTCGCGCCCGCCTCTGTGTGTACGTGTGTGTGTGTGTGCATTTATATGCGTTAATAATCCCAATAAAACGTACAACACCGAGAGATCCGGACGTTCGATTATGAGTGTACGTATCAACGCCCGGCGCGCATTTTGCACACACATTATGTTCCCATTATTAAAACACATTACCAGAGCGTTGCGCGCTATCCGGACGTATATATACAACGGAATGAACGTAACGCCGATAGGGTTGATAGATCACGCGTTTCCCTGACGCCGTCGATGAGCCGGGCGCGAGCGCGCGGCTATTTCATTTTCCATCTCAGTGGATTTGCCGGGGCTAATCGATAATCACACCACAGACACGCCCGACGCTCGCTGCGATAACAGCCAAGCGCATGAAGAACCAGCTTCGTCCTTTGGAGCCATTCCACAGCGGTTATCGACAGTGGATAGTCTCGACCATGCGTATCGAACGTCATTTTCGTGTGCGAGTTTAACGAGGTATCCTACATATATACAAAGAATCATGCATCGAGAAGAATTTCGGAAACGCACAGAGTCGAAAAAAAATTTTGAACTATCTTTTACAAGCCTTTGATTTTCTCTACGTATTTTTATCGCCCGACGAATCATTGACAAATTTTATATATAGCAACACTAATTCGTTATTATTCTAAATTTGAGTAAGCTGTCGCTCGCGCGATGTTAAATTATTTTCCACAAATGTATTCGTCCGACGTGCCTAACACGCTATCGACTAGGAAAGTGTCTACTAAGTACCGTCGGCTGGTTACATCCGGTTGCAGGGAATACAGTTGATTGTGCGTTCATGTATTGCCTGATCGAATCCCGGCTTCTTTCATGTCGGTCAATAGAGGCGTCGTGTCCGCCGCAAATTGCTCCGGAACTAAGCCGAAGCAATTAGCAACGTCTGCGTATGCGCGTTATATCGAATTGGCACGCAACGACAGTGTTGTACAGGATCTTCCCATTCATCTCGCAGACGCAAACGCACGCGCCTTTAAAGCTAATTAAAATTATATCGTCACGGCGCATCGCGTTCGTTCCAAAAACGAGGTCAAAGACCGCCCAGGACTATCCCAGGTGATGGCGGTAACGAAAGAAATTTATTGAGACGAATGGAGCGGCGCAAACAAAACCGTGAAAATTACGGGAATACGTCGTTAACGGGGGGTCGTAAAAGCGCCGGCCACGTTGCACCGAAATCACCACTTTTGCCCCGGAAAATTAAGGAACCCATTTTAATGGTCAATATAATACCCGACATAATTGCCGATCCACGTAACTAAATCGCCGGGTATAACTGTGAAATCTTGGAGAGCAAAAATTGATTACCAATTGCTCGCAAAAGTTATTTTCCCCTCTTGTTGACGAATAATTTATCTCATCAATATATTACACAGTTTCAATGAAAAATTATTTTTCTTGCAAAATAATAATCGAAAAAGTCACTTGTCGTAGTTCTTCTTTATGCTAAATATCATTCCAGTTTCCAAATTGCTGTATTATGCACAATATTACAATTTGTAATTAAAGTTGCAAGAAAGAACTATTTTAATGTATTTTTTGTCGTGTGACAGCTACGGATAATAACATTAAAAAAGTTTTACCGCAATCAAAATTGCATGTGTGATCAAGATTTTCAATTCTCTAAAAGAGAATCAATGAATATTTAATGTCAAAATGATTAAATTGATATTTAATTTAATTTTTGCAAAAATTTAAACGAAATCTATAAAAAATTTATTTTATTTTTAAAGAATTTATATAATAAAAAATAAATAAATATACCGAACACAGAATGTTTGTGGATGAAAATTTTTGATATCTTTTAAAACAGTTGTGGATTACTCTATTAATCAAGTAAAGAAAAAAATATGTACCTTGGTATATACATTTTCTGTTACTTTATGTATAACTGTTATGTCACAGAAAGAGAGAGAGAGAGAGAGAGAGAGAGAGAGAGAGTATACAGCAAGTTACATTCACTGGGCGGTCTTCCTGTTTTTATTAAGCGATCGATCGACCTTACCAGGAACTTTCGATCGTAACGGATAATGTCAACGTTGGAATATCGCAGTTTTGTTTGGCGGTACGCTATTGCTATGGCAACTTTGCAAATCGTTTGTGCGCGCGCATTTTCTTCACTTTTATACTTTACGCTTGCTGTTTTTCATGAAAAACCTATTCGCCACTTGAAGAAGTGATGAGCGATATATTTCTAACGGTTCTGATAGTTTATTGACCCGAACAAACGATAAGCTAATTAATTACTGATGCATAACGAGTATCATCGATTCGTATCAATCAATCAAGTTTGTGAAGGATTGCAGGTAAGGGTCATATCTGAAAACCATTTAACGGCACACTAATTAACGGAATTACTACATTAACCATAATTAGAACGATGAGATCAATGTTTTCACAAAATGTATAATAGATGTTCATATTATTTACGCATCGCAAATATTCTGTGCTTTATTAATGTATTTAATATCAATCTCAACTTGTTAGTAAAGAATGTATATATAATAAACTTGCTCTTATTTGATAGAAAAATACTATTCTCTGTTAAATGTTTACTATAACGACATTATACTTTATATAGTCAATTTTTACATTATTTATCATTTTAATAATCTAGTTTCCTTTTTCGACATCGATCATACACTTATTTTCTCATAATACCGTTTTTTTGCGAAAAATAGCGAAATTATATTTATTGAGAATTGCTTTCTCCCAGACGTGATTTAAAAAATTAGTTCTTCACAATAAAATATCCTGTGTGTTCTACTTTCGAATTACGTGACTAGATTCGACAAACGGACGAGAAGTTATGTAATATCATTGCGATTAGACGTGTAGGTTTGAAATCTATTATTGAAAGTTAATATTCCACTAATTCCTAATTTAATATTTAAAAATAATTTTAAATGAAATTCGAAATAATAACAAATATTTTTTTATTTTTAATCCATCAAAATTATTATTTTCCTACATATTTTCCATACATTTACTAAGAATTTGAATAATTTTTTCATAATTTTTTTTCAACTTAAAAATTAATTTTTAAGTTGTTTTTATCCAAAGAATTTTAATTATTCTTATTACAGATAATTTTATGAGATTGTTTCCTTATTCATTTACCTCTATCACTTAAACTGTATGAGCTTTATACAAAACTATATGAGTTTTAATAATGTTTATTTACAATTTTAAATTACCTAATCTTTAATTGTTTAAAGATTTAAAAAATGTATCATTAGTTAATGAGTGACAAATATAAAAATTGTGTTTATATACATATAGTAACGATATTAAGAGGGATCCGCAAAGTCAGAGAAGCGCGCGAGAAAACGCGAAGGGAATAAAGTACGCAGTTGGTCCGACGAAAAGCAAAGCGCAAGCGACGGGATGCCGATTGACTGTTACTACTTACCACCGAGTCCACCTTGTCGCGCCGTTATGCTACTCGCGAAGGCTCTCGGCATCCATCTGAACATCAAAATCGTGAATGTCATGAACGGGGAGCACATGAATCCGGAATTTGTTCAGGTTCTTTGATTGTATTATTGCTTTTGTCTTTGCGTGTTTTATTAATCGTTAATACAAATCAATCAATAAAATTTAAATCGCATAATCGAAATATAACTTATAAGCAGACACGTGGAACAAAATTATAAAATTTCTAAAGCATAATTTCTATCTCAGATAAATCCGCAACATATAATACCAACCATCGACGACAAAGGCTTTATTTTGTGCGAGAGGTATGTGAGACTTTTTTTACGCTTTTCTATAATTAAGCCCTACCTGAATAATATAAATTGTTACAGTCGTCCTATTATGGCCTATTTAGTTAACAAATATGCAAAAAATGATTCTCTTTACCCAAAAGATCCGAAACAAAAAGCAATAGTCGATCAAATGATGTACTTTGATGCTGGCAGTCTCTATCCCAGTCTTGTAAAATGTTTTGTACGTATTGTGGAATCTCTATTGCTGATTTTTAATTAATATTATAATCGACACAGTTTCTATACAACATCTTTCACACAATCACTGTAGTCATTTTATATATTTAAATATCTTTATACAGCCATAAATTTTGTAGCCAATATTTCCTCCCTCTGTTAATTAATATCTGTTAATTTACGTCCAACTACATTAATCTAATTTTCACATTAATTGAAGAAATATTTTATTTTCGGAATATTTCCTCGGTATACATATATCGCTGAGTGTATTGAAATAATTATTCTTCATGTAATATTAATTATATTGCAATATTTCTGTCGATATTTAACTCGATGAACAAAATTATTATTATTATTTATATGTATAGATACCAGTGGTGCGAGGTTTGGCTTCTTCCATTAACGAGGCAGATTTGGAAAGAGTGCAAAAATCATTCGAGGTGCTCAACTCTTTTCTCGAAGGTAGAGAATTCGCCGCCGGTGATAATTTGACTATCGCTGATTTCACTATCAGTACAACTATATGTGCAATATTGGTGAGCCTCTTCGCAAGGAATGACTTTATCGAGCGCATATAAATATAGAATTCTGTGATTACTTATCCGATTATTGCAGTGTTTCGACTTTGACATCAGTCCTTACGAAAACGTCGTCGCGTATTACGATCGTTGCAAGGAAAGTCTCGAGAAATTCGGATTTGAAGAGGTGCACGCCATGGGTGTTAAAATGTTTACCGAGATCTATCACGCGAATTTGCAAGAATCTAGTTAACGTGGATATGGCTATGGATATTTTTGCGCGTTTAAAGTAGAGGATCGATAATAGTTCGTTTACCTGAGATCGAGATTAGACATGAAATCTCATTGTTACCTTATAGAATTTAAATTCACTTTTTACCTTCGGGGTTTCTAGCATTACAACATACCCTTTTAAACCAATTAATGCGAATATTTTGAAATAGTTTTATTTTTACCGTGGGTATGTATACGTAGCCTAATTAATAGATTTTTCTGTATGTAGAACTAATTATATTTTTTAAATGTTTACGTCTTATTTCTCAGTGTACGACACAACTTTTTGTGAAATAAAATTATAATTATATTCATACTTGATATATTTTTACTTATTGTTAGACTAATAATACATTATTTAATGTACAAGCATTTTTCATTTAGATTCTCGATATAAGTATCTCTTTTTACCTTTCCCAGTGCTTTAAACACCTTTATAATTATTTTTGTGCTAAAATGATATTTCTGTGTAAAAGGCACGGTGAAATTTATAAAGCTAACAAGAATCTATTCATGTAGTAAAATTGAAAGAGTATAGGGTTGGCAATAACGTTAGTGGCGAATTGCATAAAGGTTCTGGTGTACCTCGTCATCATTACACTTCATTTTCTTAATTATAGCGTGACGTCCGACGATGGCTGCACGAAACTATTCTTTCCAACGCGTATGTATGTACATTAGAGAGCAAGCGAGATAATGATCATTAAAACAAAATCAACATTTAAGGTGGCGAGTACATTATTTTCGAGAAAATTTTACATTTTCGATATGTTTTTTTTTTGCACCATTTGTGTATCTAACGTTCGAAATTGATTGTCGATTTCGAATGAATATCTAATAAATATGACCATAAAAGCGCTTGTATGAAAATTCTAGCATTTTTTAAATAAATATTCTTGCAGTAAAAATTTTTTTTATTATATGCAACAAACATAATTGATATGACGTTTATTTCTGTTCGGATATCGCTTTGTACTGACATGATACATATGGATATGTCGACCGTTCGCTACTAAACCATTATGCGCAATTATGCAACAACCAGCATTTCTAATCAATGTGTTCGATACCGTTGACGAGTCATTTCCACAGTCAGAATTCAGTCTGTCTGAAGGCGATAAGAAATTGTCAATTGCCTTTATTGACTATTGCTGTTGGCTGTTGGATATTAAACTGATTTTGTTTTTCTTTATTTTATTTTTTATTGTTAATTTGTGATAAATATATTTATACTTTCTTTAAAAATATTTATATTTAATTAATGAGATTTATAAGACCCTCTTATCCGCAATTGATTCGTATATAAAATTTCTAGCAAAATTTATTTACTGAAATGTTATTTAAATGCTATAAATAACATTATGTTTCATATACATATAATATACATATATTTAATAATAATTAATAATTAATGATTCATAATAATCATAAAATAAGTTATAAATTGTTATGATACATTAATATTACATAATACATTGTTGAATTATAATGATTTAATTAATAACTGTGAAATAGAAAATTTTTATTTTTAAAATCAAAAAGGGTCTAATATATAAAAGCAAATTAAAGTATAAAAATGATTAGTAAAAGCCAGGTACAGATATTAGATGGAATAAAATTATTTTTCAATTCCACTATACTCATATTGAATTAAATATTTTTAAAAATACTATTTTCAACTTGATTTTTATAAAACGTGTTTAAAAATATATTTTCTACATACAATAAAAACTTTAAAAATTAAATAGTAAATCACTTTTAATGGTGCAATGTGTGAAGAAGTTCTGATAAATAAATTCAATCTAACCGCTTATGTGATAATCGACGTTATTAACTTAGCCGTTTTATGCTAGTTTCACGATGAACTAATTTGCTTTGTAGAAAACTTCCAAGTATAATTGTATTAAAAGTTTAAACATTGACCGAGCCTCAACTGGCTAATAACTCGATAGAGCTACTTATATGATAATGCATCTTCTATTCTCCAAGGAAGTTGCTATAGAAGGTCACCACGAGAGATAAAAATATCGCCTATCCGATTTTGATTAAACAATCTTATTATACTAATTCAGAATTGTACTTTTATTTATATTATCTCATCGTATGTATCATAACAATCTTTTGTGTACACTATAGATGGATCATAGCTTCACATCGTACATCTGTTTACAATTATTTATTTGTCACATATACATTATAATCTATATTAAATTAAATCAGCTATTTTTTATTTTCTAAAATCTTACATAAAATTATTTATTTATGTAACACAATAATAATATATAATATAATAATAGCTATTATGTATATAAAAGATTATTTTGGTAATTTTATGTTACAATATAATATTTGAAAAAAAAATTATTTTCTGATTTATATATAAATATAGAATTATTTTAATAACAAATAATCTAAATTTTAACCTCGATTATATACATTTTGGCTACATATCGTTACACTTTGCACTTTTCAAAATTAACAAGTATATTTTATTACTTAAAAAGTATTGAACTAGAAAATTTGATTAAAAAGAAGTCTAAAAATGACAAATTTTATTATATCATATAAAATACTAAAGATTCGAAAATTTATCAATTTGTAGAATTTTTCAATTTTTTGGAGTTTATAAAATATAAAACAAACTGTTAGTACGCTATTTGTAACTACATGCAAAATTAAAGTGTTGCATAACGGAAGAAGCTACGGAAAGCTAATGCGCCATGTATATATGCAATTATGTATATACAAAGCATTCAGGAATTATACATTAAATTACAGATTATTTACAGAATTTTTTAACATAATTATTAACTTTCGAGAGTAAAGTTCATTTTTTAATACGCCTCACACAATTCAAATATCTTAATATTCAACTCTCTACATACGTTCGAATTAGAAAGAAATAAAATTTGATGAAAATTAAATAAAAATTCAGATTTTGTCATTTAATTATAACGTTGGAAAGGTCAATTTTTCAAATTGCTTGTACAATATTTTAAGAATTATTGATATCGCGACTAAATATCGCGACTTATATAGGTATACACAAATTATATGAAATCGAATCTTCGACTGTTTTTGCAAAATCCTAACTTTTGTAAAAATTAATGAGATACAACTATTCGATAAAAAAAATAAAGTTAAATTTTATCAGTCAAATTTTAATGTCTAAACTTTTAAATTAATTAAAAATTTTTAAATAAAAATTTCATTACAAATTACATATGTTGAAAAACTTTTGCAAATTCCTACTTCTCAATAATGCATAAAATGACGTAAAAAGTGTAAAATAATACACTAAACAGTAAAATAATATATTAAACATGTGACTACTAAAAAGTGAAATAATACTTTAAACATATGACTATAATAAGGAAATATGTGATAAGAGCATTATATGACGTAAAAGTGATAAGCTAAAAATACTGGTTCTGGTGGTTCTTGCAATTAATAATGCGATAATTAATAAATAACATAACATAAAAGAAAACATTATATATTATTGGAAACTAGATTAAAATACTTTAATAGTTAATTGTTAATTTTTGCGTGCTTGAATTACTAAGATAATAATTATGTTTTAATAAAATAGTTACAATTATATATAAATTATATTTTACGTACACAATATCAATTTTATTTTAAACGTTAAATATACATACGAGTATATATATTTTATCTTAAAAGTGAGTTAAATAGATATAATCCGACAAAGTCTTTTTTTACTATCATCATGTTTATAATCCAATCCTATTAATTTTGAGATTTATTACATAACGTATGATATAAGAATATATATATAAGAATACAATAAATAAAGAGTACAAGAATACAATAAAAATAAATAAAGAGTCACACTTTGTAATAATTTAATGCCAAAAAATGGAACGTTATCTATTAATAATAGATTAATATTATGTCCCGAGACAGGCGTGAAAGAAATAAGCACGTTATTTGTTTTTTTCTGTATTCTTCTATCGATATTAATCTTGCTGTGTCATTTACCGAGTGCAACACGACAATGCAGAAACTTTAAAGTTTCTTTCTTCGTACAATAAAGAGAAGCGTGATCAGCAATTTTGACACGATGACGAATCATGGGCAGGCTGGAGCTAATTAAAGCCGCTGGTTCAATTAGCGGATGAAAGAGTAATTGTGAAAAGCGTTAATAAATTAGAACGCAGCGCGTAATCAAGTTCACTATAAAAATCTGTACTCGCGAGGCTTATCGGAAGGCTTTTCTTTTCAAAGATAGAACCGATTTATCAACAGCATATCTTTTATGTCTTAATATGCAAATAAGCGTTGAGTCACGTCGAACGGTACTCTGTTTTGGTATAGCAAAATATTGAATAATGAACTTATGCAAATCTCGTTCTTTTCTAATAGTCGACCTCGAACAAATTTTTCAGAATAAAAATATCGTCAACATTTTATAAACAAGAGTACTATTGGATAGATTGAGCAGAGTTATCGATTCATGTGAAATAAATTTATCGCTATATCAATAATCGCTAATTATGTCATTTTATTCATGCTTGTTCACTCTTGCAAAGTCGTTTATCGTTTTATTACTCACTGTTAAGCAATCGATTATTGAATATGAAAAACTCATGATAGAATTCAAAATACTTGGCATTGAAAACCGGTGACGCAATCATTCATCTCACTCTAACATACATAACTGTATGATGTTGTTCCGTAACGCGGGGTCTATAAATAGATGGACAAGCAAGTCGCATAAACAGTCCACGTTTTAATTTCGCGGCGCCGGATACTACATCTTTAGGTAGCCTGTTGTGACTTCTCTCTTTCCATCTATATATATATATATATATATATATATATATATATATATATATTATTTCTCTTCTCTCTCTCTCTCTCTCTCTCTCTCTCTCTCTCTCTCTCTTATCCATTTCTCTCTATCACGAATAATTCGCCAGAGCTTGCTAAAACTGACAAAATAATGTAAACGATTAAAAATTTGTGATTCGCGATATGTAAGTTTATAAAGAATCCCAGTGCTTGTTTCGTTTTTTGTAATTTTGTAAATGTGGAAATTTGTGGAATAATTTGTTATGTGTCTACTACTGTATAAAATTGTAAAACTACAGTGTACTAAAAAATAGTTTTAAAAAATTTAACGTTTATGTTTACAAATCAATATTAACAACTATCTTTTTTATTTCACAACTACTAATATTTTATACTAACTTCTTGCCAAGACTATCTTATAAAATACCAGAATTGACACGTTTAAATCAGACAAATCAAACAAATTAATGTTAATTATATACTACGTATGTGTCAGTCATTTGCATGTAAAGTTTTATTGTTAGTTACGTAAGAAAGCGTTTAAAACTCGTTATCTGATATCGTTGAAAATTATTTCATGCCACTCAAATGTATATATGTATCTGACACGCAATCGATCACTATCGGCTACTTCATTGATAGTGTGACGTGCGTTTTGGCAGATTTCAAGATGCCCATCGATCTTTACCAACTAACCGGAAGTCCGCCGTGTCGTGCTGTAGTTTTGACAGCTGCAGCGGTAGGTGTGGATCTAAACTTGAAACACATTCATCTTACGTCCGGTCACCATTTGACACCTGATTATCTTAAGGTAATTTAAAATAATCAACATCTGTATAGAAACTTTTCTCGCTTTTATGTTTTACATATCACTAAAACTTCAAGATAATTGAATTTAAATATTTATTACTGTGTGTCTGAATGTAGATGAATCCACAACATACCATACCTACAATAAATGACAATGGTTTTATTTTGTGGGAAAGGTAAGCATCATGTTTGATACCATCAAAAAATTTAGTAATATAATATAATATAAATTATTGATTATTTTCTCTTATTTACTCATTTATTTATTGTTTATCATCATTGAAATTTGTATACATTTTATAGCCGCGCGATAATGACGTATCTGGTTAATAAATATGGCAAAGATGATTCTCTTTATCCGAAAGATCCACAAAAACGAGCTCTAGTTGATCAACGGCTATACTTCGACTTAGGAATTTTGTACCAATCATTTATTGATACTTATGTATGTTAATTTAAATCATACATTAATTCATATGTAACACGAAATGATTAAGTCATTGGCTACTTATGTAAAGATAACATTAATTGCAGTTTACATGGTGGTTTGCCAACATCACTCCGAATCAAGCCAAGTATGATAAGATAAACGAAGCGTTGACTTTCTTAGATAAATTCTTAGAAGGTGAAAACTACGTAGCGGGAAAAACTTTAACTCTCGCTGACCTTGCTCTGGTTATCACCGTATCTAATTTTACAGTAAGAAATTAGTTGCAAATAATATATTGTCGATTCACTGATAATACAATGAATCTGCATAACAATAAATTGACTAAAATATTCTTAACTGAACTAATATTATGTCTAATACATTTTTATATTTTTTTAATTTGCAATTTTATTATGCATTTAAATTTGAAATATATATATATATATATATATATTTAAATATTAATTATACTTTATTAAATTCACACATACGAATTACGTATTTACTTTAAATTTTTTCGCCAACATACGATTAACACAATTATATATATTGTAAACAATTGTACATTATGAAACAAATAACTCAATAATTAACATTTTTCTTCTTGCAGCTTGTTGATTACGATTTGAGTAAGTATAGCAACATTTTGAAGTGGTTTGCCAGGATTCAGACCGAAGCTGTTAAATATAAGGAGATCGAAGGCGAGGGCATGAAAGCCTTTAAAGAGTTCGCCGATAATATGAAAAATAAGCATTTTTAATTTTTTGATCAATTTAATGCTTGCATATTGTATACATTGAATGGTGTTTTGATATCTACTAATTTTTATTGATTTTGTATTATTGAGAAATGTAAACAATATTTTGTTCGTATATAAACTGATCAATGCAAAAAATATATGAAAGTTATTATTTTCAATACATTCGCTCTCACGATCGGGATATAACCGTCATCAATGTGGCAGTTTTTGTATGCCTTGAAAGAAGGCCATGAAGAGAGAATACTCTGCGAACTACTTGCACACAAACACCTCTATAGCTTCGTTCGTGTCAAACTTTTGGTCGCTCAGACCCTCTTTAAGTGGCCCGAACAGATAATCACAAGGTGATAAGATAGAGGATGCTCCGGTATGCTCTACTTTAGTCGTTCAATCGTGCACACCATCATCACCGAATGAGGGCGAACATTATTGTGTAATAGAATCGATATAAACAGTACTTGGTACATCTTGGCGATATGCTCTGATTTATAATTTCACTCATAAAAGGTTGCAATAATATACTGCATTCATAGTGCATTGTATTAAAAAAATTACATTTAAAATCAGAGAGGCTTGTGATGTCTAAGTTTTGGATGACAAGAATTTACATTTTTCGTTGTTCTTTTTTCACGGATCTTTTTTAAATTTTTTTCATTTCAACACTTGCATAGAATGTTGTCCCAAACTCAGAATTTACATAAAATTCGGCGCCAGATGTATTTTCGTTCGTTAAATATTTCATGATTATTTATCGTGACATAGATGGATATACTAATCGCTATATAGTTCGTCGTGCTGTTGCTGACTAAAGAGCCGTAAAGTTCTACTTGTGGTACGTTGTCAGAAACGCTTATGCTCACACGTTAATGCAGCCGTTTTAGCCTAAGTTAATACCCCGCCATTTTATACGAAAATTATCGTTTATATTTAAACTACCCTTATATATTATATATAATAAGAAAATATTATATACCTTTCACAAAGATAAAGTTATAAATTCTTACCTCTGTGTTGGTCACTTAACAATGGGAAAACTTTTAGCATAGTTGGAGGGTTCTGTCTTGGAGAATCTTGACCTAGCTCGCGGCATTACTTTGTTATGAGCAAAAAGTCCCCGCGGCAAAGTGACCAAACCAAATCTTCCTCTCTCTCCACTTGAAATTCTGTTAACAGATAAATTCCACATTATTGATCGACATTGCAGAATTATATTATGTATAAGAGAAGGAGAAAGAGAGAGAGAGAGTGAGAGAAACAGAGAGTATACATAATATATTGAAAGTTGCATCAAACAATTAATAATTAATATAATTATTCCGGTGAAAATTGAATTTCTTCCCATTATGTCCGTTATAATTCATTTATGCATTTTAAACTATGTACATATATATGTATTTATGTGCAAAAACTTTATTTATTTGTAAAAATTGAGACATTGCTTAAGTCAAGTTTTTCATTAAGCAAGTCTTGAGACGTATACGCAAACTTTTATATTGAAATAAAGAGGAATATTTTTTATAAACTAACTTAAAAACAATACTATTATCTGTTTATATTCTTCACACTTAAATTCTCAAGATGATTCAAATTTATAATAATTTGACAACTATATACATAATTACCTTTTTTAAATATAATTTTGAAAACTTATAATAAAATATTCAAAAAAAGCTCTGCAGTCTCGAAACTGAAAAAATACAGATGAGCAATGAAAAATTATAAATTAAAGTGTTTTTTTTTTAAATGCATGTTTATATAAATTTGCAGAAATCGACGTTATCATTATTTTAAATTTGAAAAATTTTCAAGCATGTCTTTAATAATGGTCTTTCAATAATTTATAAATTCTCTATTACGTGCATAATTTCATATTTTTATTACTCGAATACTCGATTCTCTTCAGACTTGAGATCTTCATTTATTTGACTCCATTGATAAAAAAGACGATATTTGAATAATATAAATAATTATATCATGAAAGCTCTCGGTTTACATTTGTCATAATGTATTAGTAATTACAAAAATACAAAGATATAAAAAATATAGGAAAACTTTACTCTTCTTTTTTTATCCACTCAGTTTCTACGCCAAATGTAGTACATAAAAAGATATACATATAATATGCTGTTATACTGTTATATGATTATAATATTTTATTTTTAAAAGTTATTCTTCTAGCATTCTGAAAATTACATATACATGATAGAAAATAAATATATTTTTTCTCAAATACTTGCTCAAATTGTACGCTATATAGCTTTTATAAAAAATACATAGCTACCTGTCTATGTATTTCTAATAAAGGTCAGATATCACGCCTATGTCAGTTATACTGAAACGTACGTCAGTATATCGATTGATGAGAACTTTGCACAGTTCAGTCTTTGCACGAACACGGGATTGTATGTGTATTCATTTTCGTGAAACAAATATTTTACTTATAAAATAACTTGAAATTAACAATAACGCTCGTATAAGCGCGTTTGACACACACACTAACATAAATAAATAAACCTATATATTTGTAAATAACAAATTAAGTAACGTAAGGTCTAATATGCCTGTGCAACTGTATTATTTTCCCGTGAGTCCACCTTGCCGAGCCGTTATGCTCACGGTAGAAGCGATTGGACTCGAAGTAGAACTAATAATGGTGAACACGATGGCTGGTGAAAATTTGACACCGGAATATGAAGAGGTATAAAAAATTGACAACTGCATTCGGTATTAATAAAAATAGTTTTGTGTAAAAATCTGAAACGCGCATGTCAATTGATTAATATATGGAAAACATTCTCTTTTTTTCCTAGTTAAATCCACAAAAGACAATTCCATTTCTCGTTGATGATGATCTCAAGATATCAGAAAGGTTTGTATAGAAACACTCAAATGATATATCTATCATATATTTGGCGCATCTCTTTTAGTGTGTTCATTAAAGTACAATGTTTCAGTCGAGCTATTATGACTTATCTGGTTGATCAGTACGGCGAGAATGATACATTATATCCGCGAAAACCGGAGGCACGTGCTCTAATCGATCAACGATTATATTTCGATGTTGGCACACTTAACGCGAGCGTGTTTAATTATTTCGTATGTAATATATGCTTAATTATTTTTAAATAAAACACGACTGCATTCTCACGCAAGTTTCGTCACACAGATACCCCTGGTAAAGAGGCAGATCGATACGTTTGACCCGGCACAATATGAAAAAATGACAGAGGCCTTCCAAATTCTAGAAAAGTTTCTCGAAGGACATGATTACGTAGCTGGACATAATTTGACGATCGCCGACCTAGCCTTGGTCGCATCTGTGACCACAGCAGAGGTAATATTTTATTAGATGTTTTAATTATTACAGTTAACAATTAATTATTTATTTTGTGCAACATTTTTTATAAATATTTTTAACAGATTATATGCACTGTTTTATACATTGTAGTTCTCTCTCAATCTTATCGAGATATTCGAACATAATTGTTAATTATTAACGGTAAATTAAAGATTTATCTTCAAATATTCAAGCTTATCAATCAATGTATTTTAGGCTGTCGGATTCAACTTGGAAGATTATGAAAACGTTTCTAATTGGTTGGAAAGAATACAAACACTTGCACCTGAATACGAGAAGGTTAATGGCGAACCATGCGCAATGTTCAAAAATTTTATAGAAAGCTTACAAGGCGAAAAAGGAGATGAAGAAAAAGAAGAAGAAGAAGAAAAGGAAGAAGAAGAAGAAAAGGAAGAGGAAGAAGAAGAAAAGGAAGAAGAGGAAGAAGAAAATGAATAGTACATCATAATAAATATATTATTTCTGATTGTTTATAAATACAAATGTTTGTATGGCATTTTATGATGCTACCAGTTCGATGTCAGTTATACAATAAATAGTCTATATGAAAAAATTTCAAGCTTGTTATATGTTTCTTTCAGATCTCAGTATTTTCTAGGTATACTTCATCAATACAAAAGCACGAATTAGAACATATAAAAAGAAAATGCACAATGCCTATAAGCACAATATAAATTAAAAAATAAATTATTATAATGTAATGATAATAAATTTTAATATTATATTAACGTAAATAAAAATGATATAAAAATGATATTTTTTGTTATTTTTAAATTTTGTGCTATAATAATATCTTAAATCTTGTGAAAATTCTCATCTGTTGAAAACTTGGAATAAAAAGTAAGTAGTTGCCGACTGATGGCTCTTATACTTTTGTACTCAATGTATGGTATCTCAACCTTTTATATCGTCCGTCGAATAGTAATCTATTGCAGATCATAAGAATTAGTATTAAATTTTTTAATCAATTTTTACGAGAGATAATTCGTTATTTTATTTTATTATTATTTGCATATTTTCTTCAATATATTTACGTATATTTATTTTATTCAATATTTCCCTTACAAAAAAAACTACAAGAATACGAAAGAATGATTAGTATTCCAATAATATATTATTGAAGAACTATTATTATATCAGTAATTTTTTCGTATTCCAGTAGTTTTTTTTCGTGCGGGTTACATCTCATTATTAATACTCCAAAGTTTTAAGAATAAGTTTGAGTTTTTAAATATTGTTTTAAAGTATTTAAAATATTGTTTATTTCTACAATACAATATAAATATATACATTTTGTAACTCACAATCATCTGGAAAACTACTAGTCTGAAAAACATGTAATGTAATTTGCAAGAATTTAAAGTATAAAAAGATAATCATCTCATAAAGATCTCACATATAACTAATAACTTACCGACAATATATCCAACAATGTAGAAAATGTTTCCTTGATTTTAATTAGATACAATATATAAATCAAATGTGATGATGAATACATTGTTCTGAATTTGACGATTTTAAGAATATCTTCTATAAAATTATACTTTAAGTCTATATATTTTCTTCGCTCATTTGTCGTAACAATGTAAAGTACGACATTGCAGTACTTAATATCTGTTGCATATACACACATACATATTGCATAATTAATCTTATATTGTATTATCGCATAAACTATATTACTATATTATATACTAATTATAGGAAAAAATCGTAGAAGCAAGATAATAATTTGATAACATATAGCAGATATTAAATATCTTTATATAGAGATAGAGATAGAAATATTATATAATCTGCATTAATCTTGTTTTGATCCGTGGTACATATATATAAATATTGAGACATAATTTAATTTAATTTAATAAAAAAAAAGAAATACAAAGTATCTCTTGTAATAAATATAATTATCAAAAACAGTACTTTTTTAATTATATGAATTTAGATAGATTAAAATAAATAGTTATAATTAGATGTGTAGTTCTGAACTTATCTTCTACTTTCTGCAAACTAAAAATTTTTCAAATTTAAATGAGAAAAATGCGCTCAAACTATTGCGATCATGGATATTCTATCCCGATTTTTCATTACCTTTTATACAATTATCAAGCAGAAGGATAAAATATGAATATTGCATCCAAAAGATAGCACAGTACTACTTACAATTTACAATAAATAAATTTTTTGTTGTAAAAAAGACGATATTTATTAAATCGCACTTACCCCGGTAAAAGTGTCCAAAGACATAACTGCGAAACTTCCAGCAGTTAATGCACATGGTCGACGAGCTCTGATCATGATTAAAAGTAATCCTTTCTTCACTGCCTTTCCTGAGCCATTGTCGGGTAAGAGATACCACTTGGAATTATAAGCGGCATCGGAGATAGCTGCGCTTTGCACAATTATGTCATTACACGTCCATGTATAAATAAGTAACTGGATAAGTCCGCCCACAAAGTGGAAGGCAAAAATGCACTTTCTGATAACCACATCTGCCGCCTGCGAAAAAAATTTTCTCGCAAAGAATTTTAAAAGATAAAATACTTGTAATAGAAGAAAACCGTCCATACTCTGATAAAATATAATAAGTTTTTTTTCAAAAATTTGTCAGTGTACAAAACTTATAATTATTTTTTTTAATCTAATTTTTTTGTTATAAACATCTCGGAATCTTTTTTAAAATTTTTAAATCCGTCCATTTTTTTAACACATTGTAACTGCGAAATTTTTAGACTTATAAATTATAGGAGTTGTAAACAAATCAATGAAAGAATATTAAAAATATAAAATGCATTATAATATTTATTTAATATTTGCAAATAAGATTCAAAAAATATAATAAAATGAACAGATAAAAAACAATAAAATATAAAACAAAAAAGAGAATTGATATTTTAAAAAAATCTTACGAGAAACTGAAATCCACCGAAGCAGATGACTACACTGGAGAGCAGCAATTGTCCGAGCAATATAACAGTGAATACACGTTGCATGTTATGCACGTAATGGATGAGCATAAGATGCTGCTTCACACAATCTCGCAAATTCCTAAATGTTAACATCGCGAAATCCGTTTCAGACAGGTAGTTTTTGCCGATCACGGTGTTGATGCAATCTTCGGCGATCGTTTCCACTTTATGTGCCAAAATTTTCAGTTGTGCGGCCACGTGGATATTGAACGTGCTTACGAAATTATCAAAACAACAAGTACATATACCCGAATGTATCGTCGAAAGTGACTACAATTGCAATTTAATGAAACGCATGAAACTTGTCGCATTATTTTGATTCATATACTAAATCATGACAATGCTTATAAATAGAAACAGAAATAGTTGTATGTAACAAGATTCAACTCTTGTCGAAATGCCTAATACAATACAAATATTTTACAATAAATACAATACAAATATTTTACAATAAATATTTGAAAAAAATGATTTTATGCATTATTACCTGTATAACATAAGTAATTTCGTAATATGGTGAGTGATATGGAAAATCGATCCATAGTTTGAACGGTAGAATCTTCTCTGTTTCGTTTGTTGCTTGAGGCTCTATTAATAAAAAGTCAAAAAATCTCCTTTTGCTGTACAACATTGCTTTACGTAAAAATTATAATGTTTGTCAATGTGACATAAGCAAAAAAAGATAGTAACTATACCGAAAAAAGGTGCGAAGACATAATTGAATGTCGCGATGACAACGATACATGTAAAAGTGTAGACCATACTCATCCCTAATTTGTCGTATCTTTTCATAATTTGGGTACCAACTTCATTGTAAGTGACATTCCAAAAATTTTCCTCAGCATAATGGATCAAATCCATTATCTGATCGCGATAGAACATGAAGCTACCCAACTTCACTAGTATCATTACTAGCAACAATGTTGCACACAAGTTAGACGTGACAGCCTATATATAGAGTAATAAAATTGTTTATTATTTAATTATTTTATTTTAATATATTTAATCATTTAATTATAACCGGACATATTCAATATAAATGTCTTGACAACATATTGTTTATGTGTAAACAGATGTTGAAAACAACATATTATAATTGTACATAATTAAATTTAAAAGCACATTCCATCTTATACTTCAAAAGTAAAGAGACAACGCATGGTAAAAGAGGCACTTAAAATAAATACCGACAAATAAAAATACAGAATAAAAATGGTTCTAATATAAAAAGAAAATAATGCAACTTTTGTTTCTGTCTAAAAGAAACTGCGAGAAACGAGCGCTGAGTCACTTACGTAAAAGTCACCTATGCAATGGTACAGATCGACCCCCTCGACAAGAATGGCGAAGACAATTGCCCAAACGGCATAGCCAAACGCGATGCGCAGGAACAGCTGTTCCCGAGCTGTTTCGACGTACCAGAGGCCTACCATTTTCATGAAGATCCGCGTAATACTTACCGATCGGTATTCCTTACTTCGCGTCATGCCGGAACTTGTGATTTTCTTACGCCACAGCAGCTCTAAGTACATCCGAACGACCGAGCTATATCTCGGCGTAAGTGGCCGATTAGGCTAACAGACAGAAAAAATTGATGCGCACTTATATCTCATACTGGTGACAAGCTGCAATCATACGCGTCTTTCTTGCTAAGACAATCAATCGGTGATGGGGATTCGGTTTTAGCGGTCTTGACAATGCGCCAGTTTGCTTCCTTCGTCGTTTCCGCTTCAGTAATAGACTACGAGTTATCGAGATTCATCGTAAATTGGATGTCTATTTGCTGTTATGTATTCTTGTATAAGAATAGCGAGATTATATTTAAATGAAATTTAGTGATTAATTATTGTTCAGTAAATAGTTTTTTTGTGTTTTGTTGTAATATGAACAGGTAATAGAACAAGGAATATCTCTGAAAGAGAATCTAAATGTTTTATTAATCAAAAGAAATCTTGTCATATACACCATCAAATAATAATTTATTAAAGATCACAATAAAATTCTATATTAAAAACTTTGAATACTTTACGAGATGTCTTGTTACTATTAAATTACTTGTATATTTTCTTTGATATTTTTTTTATTCATTTATATGTAAATTTATTTATTAATATTTATTGTTAACATTATTAATATTCTCTATATAAACGTACTTATACGTGGTCAAATAGAAAGTTACTCCACTGAAAATTATATATCATTTAATTTAAAAATATTATATGTAAATACTTATTTTATTCTATTTTTTCCTGTAAATTATAATCTATAAAATTTATATACAGAAAGCACTCAAATTGTTTCTTATAATCTACAATAAATAAATTTCTTTAGCAGGGAAGTTTTAAAGGAAGTTATTCGCATTGGACTTATGCTCATAAAAGAGTTTACAAGGACATAATCGTGATATTCCCAGCGGTTAATATACATGGTCGACGTACTCTGATCATGATAATAATTAGCCCTTTCCTTCTCTGGACCATCGTCGGGTAAAAGATACCCACTTGAAGTTATAAACGGAGACAACCGTGTTTTGCACAATTATGCCATTACACGTTTACGTATAATTGTGTGCATAAAGCCGCCTACGAAATGTAAGGTAAAAATACATTTTCTGATAGCTACATCCGCCATTTACGAATAAATGCGCCACAATGAATCAGAGAAGGAAAAATAATACAACTCTTTTAATTATAAAAATATATTATAATTTTTATGCGTTATTTCTCAATATATTTCGGAAACTTTATTGAAATTCTTAAACGCGTTTATTTTAAAGAAAAATATGCACCCAGAAAAATAAGAAAAACAAATAATTTTTCAATTTTTAAATTTTCTTACAGTATATTTTAAGATATGATTTTCATCGAAAATGGCAGCCATTTTTTCGGTACCTAGAAGTCGATCATTTTTCTAAAGACCTCTATAATATTTACTGATCAGTTTTCTTACCTCATGTGCCAAATCTCGTAATTTTCTCGACACGCTGTCCTAAGTACATTCAAATGACGGAGCTATCTCGACGTAAATGGAAGCCCATTATGCTAACAGGCAGGAAAATTGGCGCGAGCTTACCACGTGCTAGTGACAAGCTACCATCATAGTGCGTCTCCCTTGAGACGATCAATCGGTGGTGCATATATTAGTTTCGATCTCCCCACTGTGTGTGAACAATGCATTAAGCTTTCTCCCTTTGCCGTCAGTAGTGCCACCATCTCATCGCAAATTAGATTTTGGCTTACGATGTAAAATAGAACAATAAAACAGTTGTATTTGCGGATCAAATTTACGTGATTAATTATGATTATTTAACAAACAACTTTTTTGTGTATACATATATGAGTATACAAAAAAAAACGAGAAAATTCTTGCACATTCCGATTTGATAAAAGGAAAATAAAATATTGTATTTACAGTATTTCGTTTGAAAAAAATATATTTCTTCTGCCAGAAAAATCAGACATTCCTTACTTTGACTTACTGTATAATATTCATATGTATATACATTTTATATATTGTATAAATATATGTATATGCATTATCGTACAGTTTAAAATCTAAAATTATACACTTCAACAGATTTCTGATTAAATACTTCAATACAAGAATATTTCTAAATTTTTTCCTCAAAAATGTATCGCTTAAATAATTTTAAACTTCCTTATATTCTGGCTTATCCATTATTCTCCGATAAACTTGCGAAGTAAAGTAAAATAGGATACCGAGGTGCTCAGCACCTAGAAGAAAATAGGCTATCGTGTATATACAGATATAGTTACCTGTATAATCGCACATTTTTATGCCAAACTTACCGTCATAAACGTCTCGAGAGATACCGGGAAGAAACCACCAGCTGATATGGAGCAAGGACGCTTGGATCGCATTATGATCATCAGAACAGCATTTCTGATGCCTTTGTTATCCTTGTGGGCCAAAACTTGCCAATTGGCATTGTATGCCGCATCTCCTATCGCGCGACTCTCGTCTATCAAATCGTTCGACGTCAACGTAATCACGAACAGTTGGAAGAAGCATGCATTTGAATGGGCGATAAATATCATTCGTCTGACGATCGTACCTTGGCCCTTTTTCAACAGAGATGCACGATACATAAAAGAAATCAGCGAGCCATGTAAGAGAAACATTTATACTAATCTATTTTTTTCCTGATATACTCTTTTAATCAATTATTTAACATTGCTTTTTCCCCTTTCTCCTAGTTTTTTTTAATACTTACCAAAAATATTTGCAAACCCGAAACGCAAAGCAAGATAGCGGATGACAGGAGTTGACAGAGGGTTGTATACATGAACAGACGTTCCATGCTTTCACTGTACCAGATTAACTTGTGATGTATTGCGACGCATTCTATAATCTCTTCGTATACTTGATGTTTCTTTTTCTGGGTGAGCATTTCTACGGTACCTGTCCGTTCGACTTTCTGAAGAATAGTTTCGAAGCGATGCTGAAGCATTTTGAACTGGCCAGCGGCGTGCATGTTTATCAGTCCTAAGAGATTATCGAAGCAGCAGAAGCACAGGCCTGAGTGAATTAGCGCTATAAACTAGAAAATCATTTAGAGAAAATTAGATTATCTTATTTAACAAAGAACTACATAGAAACGATATAAGTAAGTGACGTAATCTAATAACGTTGGGTGCAACGCTATAATTTCCTTCGTTAATTTACTTTAAAATCTAATCAAAAATTGCGTATACGTGAATCTAAAGTCGCGAGTGTCACAATGATTGCTAAAAATTAATTTAGACTCGAATATCTCTATATCATAAATGAACGAGTGCATGAATACGCTGCGTTACCTCGAAAAAAAAAACTATTTCATAGTTAGGCGAGACGTTTGTCGAAATTCCGACCCAGACATTAAACATGAGTATTCTCTCGGTTTCGTTTTTTCCCTTATTTTCTATAAAAAAAAAATGTAACATAGAGGAGATAAATAAGATATCCGCTCGCGCAACAAATGCTATGATTAAAAACAAAGAGATCTGTACTATTCTGTTCTCTATTAAATGGGCGACGTAAATTTAAAATACCAATTATAGGCGTCAGGAGATACGATAAAACGGCTCCTTGGGTGAAGAACGTAAAGGTGAACAATAATATTGTTCCCTTTTTATTGATCTGTTCTAAAATTTTGCGGCCGTACGCATCGTACTGGACGTACCAAAAGTTATCTTCCGTGTATTTCAGCATTGACAGCATTTCTTCCCGATGAAGTAGAAAGAAGCATAACTTCAACAAAACTATGACCACTGGCATAGTACTGCAAGCAGTGTACGTGATGGCCTAACATTTATTTTTGTTATTAATATCTAGTACTTCTAATACCAAAATTATTTAAAACAAAGAAATTTCTGTATACTAAACAACTACTTTACACAAAGACAAATTAAAATATATGAACGGGACAAGTATGAAAATTAAATGCATATAAAATAAAAGAAGATTAAAAAAATCATTAAATATTAAAGTTGTTATTAACAATGATTATTTAAATTTAAAGGTGTAATTACTTAAAAAAACCCGAAGTTCCAATTATTATTACACAATCAACTTTATCCAACGTGACGAAAGAGTCTTTACTTCTTTAATTAATATAACAAGAATTTTTGGTACTCACGTAAATATCACCTATACCTAAGTACAATTCGGTTGCTTCTATCCATAAAGCTAAACCGATCGCGAATAACGTATAGGCCAAAGTTACGTTTAAAAAAATTTGTCCCATTTTGACTCTGGAGGCCAGTAACCAATAGTCTTCATTAAAAATCTCGCCAATCGTATCGAAAGAAAATCCTGTTTTTCCTCGCCATTGTTCGCAACAACCGTCACTTCTACGGTTATACTGTATTAACGAGAATTGCACCCTGCAATAATAGATATAGAGATACGTAATAGCGGGTATAAACGTGCAATTGTGGCACGATCCTTTGATCGAGTTATTTCTTCCCCTCTATTATCTTAGCCTATTATCACGCTATACAGGAGGCAGTATCGTTAGAACAGGAGAAAAGGCTGCTTTATTACAGAGTACACACCCTTTGCCTTTTTCGCAGAAAGGAATATATAATGTGTAAAGATATATTTGAATTAGAATTGTCTGAATAATGAAAAAACGCATTGGTATAAAGGATATGTATTCTTTAATCATTTTTTCAGCTGTTATATTCACAGGATTCTAAAAAAAGTTTTGCAAAGAAGTAGAGATCACAGAAGAAGAGAATAAGGAAGAGTGTTACGCTGCACTCGTAGAAATCGTGAAAAAGTGCCAGTCGAAGATCTCTGTCGCTAAATCGCACTTCGTCTTCGTATTTTATTAAATTCTGACAGAGAACACACATATGTATATCACACTTGTTTCGTGCAACAGCAGCAGTCACGTATTTGAATTCTCCTAACTGTGTTATACATCGAACACGTGTTATACTGAAGTTGTTAGCTATTTCATTTAAGAAATTTAATTATTTTAGTTCAAGAATTAATAAAAATGGAAGTGCTCTACATTTTATACTACTGTTAAAGAAAAAATTAAAAGGAATACAAGATCTAAGCTCTTCTAAAACAATCTCGCCTCGGAATTTTGCAGTTTTCAGGAACTCAAGGTAACCAGACTCTTGTTCTAGAAATTTATATGTTGCAAAATATAAATTTTAAATTTAATTTTAAATCAAGAGCTAAATATTAGTCTGTGTGATAAACGACTATATAAAATATTTATTTATCTAAATGTTTAAAAAGGGTACTATCTAATTATCTATCTGTTAATTATGTTCCATAATAGATTTTTGTTCATTTAAATTCAATTTAATTTTCTTCATTATATGTTTTTCGTCTTTTATTAACATAATATATACAGTTTAATACATGCCCTGAATAGGGCTTTCACTAAAGGGCCTATTTTATTATTTATTTTTGTATTAATTCCTGATGTAATTATATTAAATTAAATATTGATTTTTAATACGCAGAGTTCTTTTAAAAATAATGTTTAAATAATGAGACATATATATACAAATTGAGAACAATGTGTTATATAGAATTACGTCTGTTAAGAGTATAACTCTTTTTGTATAATATAATTGTTGAAATCTTACAATGTTTTCACTTGTCGCAATTATGCATTTTTTTTTGAAAATGCAGACACTGATTTTGGTTAAATTGTTTCAATTTTTGGCAATTTTCCGTCTTGGATTGCCCTTTGATACACGATAAAAAATCTTGGTTGCTCCATAGAACGAGAAGTTAATGACAAGTTAATAGATATACCCTTAGCTTTTCTGCGTTAATCTTCTCGCCCGATATATACAACTATAATTTAATTTTTTTTACTGGACATTTTATAATTCTTTATACTTATTGAAAAATTTCTCACGTGTTCTACGTGTACGAGTCTCGTTGAATTTCTTCTCCGACTGTTTCCGCTTTGGTCTAACATTTCATCATCGCAAACGCTTTTTGCGCGTCATGCGAGGGTTGCGTTTCACCCGCTACATCGCGCATTCTGTTGCGGTTTGCCAAATTAAGCTTGGCATTTTCGACTGGTGCCCGCAGTTTGCGGTCGGAGCCCTGAAATGTGTGCGAATAGAAGGATATCGATCCTGTCGATGTAAGCGAGATCGACGACGAGTTTGCGAGTTTCTTTTAGATGAGTAACGTGATACACTCAAGCGCAGGTCGCGCGGTTGTTTCGTATATTTAGTTTCTCTTCTTTAATTTCGCGTTCTCGTTGCTCCTTCCCGAAGGTTGAATTAGAAAGATTTTCTTTTCCACTCCGTCTGCGTTCGTTCCGTTTCGCCATTATTCGCGCTGCTTTCTCTTGTGTTTGCGTAGATTTTTATTTCTTCTAGTCTAGAGTTCCATTAAAGTTTGACTATCTTTTTTCCAACCTGTCTGGGTTCAGTGATCAAGATTCCTCGAATGCATCTTGGTCTATTTTCTGCCAGTAGTCGCAATATTTGTCGTGTTAATAGTTTCAAACGTATAGTTGAATTTTCTACGCGCACGTAAATGAGAGAAAATAATGCGCGTATTTTTAAATTGATGTAAAACTATCAACTGTAAACAGGAGACATCAGGATGATGACTATATGAAGAAGCGTACAATGGAGGTATATATTTTATTGTATATATTTTAATGTTCTTTTTTTTTCTTTTTTGAGAAAATACGTATACTCGCAACTCGATACATTTTCAGCTACACGGGATGCGATTCGGCATTACCACGGCGTTATTCGCTATAAAAAATGTTGGACAAAAAGAATAACTAGAATTTATTGCTACGTCGAACAGTGGACAGAGAACGTGTGCCTTCGGCTGATGGGCGTGATAACGCCAAATCGCCGGCTGTTTACATATCATCTATATATATAAATATATATATATATAGATAGATATATTATACGTATGTATACTTATACATTTACTCGCAAAACATGTACAACAAACAAAGACTATCTTTCGTAATAGTTTACGTATATTTATTCGACTTAAAAAAAATACGGCAAGTATTTCGTATATTATTCTTGTCAATAAGTGAAGAGGCGTCGACAATGGTATAACATCTTGATTTGGTACATTACACATACGTACACTCTGAGATACAACGCTAAAACACTTATCGACTTCGCTCTCGCAATCTTGTCTCCTTATCTAGTATGTTTCTATTATTTCATTGTTATACAGATAACGCGCGCTGCCTATCCATATAACCGCGTAACCGTGAAAGCAAAATATAACGAAAGGAGAAGAGGGATGACATATTTCTTTCGGTGTTTTGTATTTGCTAAGGGGATTTAACATTACAGGTGTCTCTCGTTACGAAGCGCGAGCGTAAATCAAATCGTCCGTATTTTCGACTTTAAATCGGCAACGTGTGCAACAGAAGTGTCAATCTAACCGGTGACACCGGTGTGCGAATTTTCAAAACCGATATGGCATTCTTTACGGTACGATATTATTATATTAATGCGAAAGAATAATATTGCATCTATTTCAAATAAAATTATACAAATTATTTTTAAAAAATTGGGTGTGCGAGGAAGAAAAGCTTCATACAGCGTGCATTAAAATTAATAGTAACTATGTATTAATAAAAATAGCTGTCTTTGTCTCTCTAATTTTGTTTAAAAAAATTTAACAAAAACACCAGCTTTCTCATCAGCCTAATAATTTATAAATACAGTCAAAACTCGCGGTAAGTGACATTCATATATACACACACACACACACATACACGATTTTCGCACAAAGCTGTGTAATAGTAGGTATTTTTTATACGAGAACAAACAAAGTATCGAAATGTACAAAGGCATCATCTCGCGACTATGAACAAACGTGCACCTCTGATATCTCGACGTGAAAATCTCTCTCCGCTATTTCATCATCAAACACACTCGGCTACTTCGCGCAGCCATCGCTAATAATATAACCGCGTAAAATACGTTCTATCAATTAAACGTTTTAATTCGCATATCCTGCTTGAGAAGCGAGATTATTACAGCGTATATAATAACAATATAACAGGGAGTGTCTCGCGCGCGGTTAATAACAAATTGTGTACATACAACAGAATGCTTATAAATCTATCGAGAGAAACGCAAATTCACGTTATCGCTGGCTTCCCTCGCGTATATCTCACGCGCCATCAGAAAAATAGGCTTATACGAGACGATGGATTAACCTTTCTAAGCGTCGGCATCGCAGATTACCCTAGGTAGGTTCTCGCTGTCTCTCGGAATTAATATTACACATATCTTCTCGACGTATCTTTACAAAGAATTTATCGATATATATCGGTAAATTGAAAATTATATAAAAGATTTATGATAAAAGTAGTCTTTCGTACAACTTGAGGAATTATACCTTCTCTATATTACGCATATCTTTACCATAAATCTTTTGTATACAATTTTTATCGATGACAAGTTGAAATTAATAAAATATTATCTATCGAGAACAATTACTATATTTATTATTGGGACGCTTGTCTGAACACGCAGCTCTAGATTTTAAACGGCGTTTGAATTTAAATTTCGACACTGAAAAAAAATTTATTGAATTTGAATAAATATTTATTTCGATACTGCCTAATAAATCATTTACTTAAAACTAATAATATTAATTTGATGTGAAAAATATTTATTTGATAGAAAATTGAAGAAAATCCTTTTCAATACAGATAAATATTGATTTGATTGAAATAAATGATTGATTAGACTGTATTAAAATAAATAATGATTAATTTAATAATTTGTTTTCAGTGTGGATTATCGTGATACTTTGATGAAATTATCGTGCTGTAGGAACCGATTGCCAAGTAGAAATATGCTATACGCAATATATAGTTTGTCTTTGCATGTAAAACGCATTATTTATTAAACATTAATCATTTTTTCTCGCAATTATGGCGAGATCATAACTTCTGAACGCAATTATGAAACAATGTAATGAAATGTACATAGTCGGCATCGAAAGACTCGAGATAAGACTCTTATTTATTATCGGACACGTTATGAAAATCACTGAAAAAAGTGTCTCCGCGCTATTCTGACGCCAACTGTATCATAGGAGATGCAATGAAATAGTTTCCGAACTGATGATCAAGTGGCTATCTCCGCTTAACAAATCTCTCATATCACTCAAACTTTTAAAGTAATAATTTTTATCTACTCTTAAATATCTTAGATAACCAATAAAAGTTATTAACATTATGTCCAACGACCATTTGAAAAAGATGTAAAAAAAAAGAAGTAAAGAGTCTGTATGTGTGAGAGAAACTCTCATCACCGAGATTGTATGGATCTTCTTCTCTTCCATCGTTAAGGGTTAATACCTAACGAGATTACTTTGAAGGAGATAATAGTGAATAGGATTAGTCAATTACTTTTTATAGTGTCAGTCCGGAAACTTTTTGATTGCATGCTTGCAAGTTTTGGTGAAACAAGATTTAAGTAAGTAATGAGTATGAACTAGGACTGTAAATGTTCGAATAATCCCGTGTTATTCGGATAAATCGAATAAACTTTAATATACACGTGAGATTTTTGATCAAATATAATTGAATATTTTTTTAAACAACTGAATGAGAATATACATATATCAAGTATCAGTTGTATTCTCTCTGTATTGTATTATTCGTTTATTCAAATATGTACAGTTAGAAATTGGTCAGAAATATCACAAATATTTAGTAAATATCGAAATATATATATGATGATAATTCAATCATCTAAAAAGTGTGTGTATTCGAAATACTTGAATTATTCGACCATTTGTTTTATCTCAGATAGAATTATTTGAATGTCTCAAAATTTAATTGCTGACACACACATACATGCACACACATCCAAATATCCAAATATTTAAATATATCAGCACTTTAAATCGGCTTTATATACATGTAGCCCTATTACAAACGTTTCCTTACATGAATTACAACATTTTCTTGCATATCGTATCTAATTTACAAATGTAATCTTTTTATCGCACTAATTAAAATGTCTATTATATCTAATAAACGCCATGATATATTCGACAAACAGTTCGGGAAATCGAATGCAAAAATTCTCCCGACAAATTCATGACCCGTATCCTCAATTGTTTTGTATAACGTAAACTTTCTACATCGGAAAGTGACGAAATATCCGTTCAAGCGTGTGCGTAAAAAATATTTCGCTATCATTAACGACCCATAATAACTATTAACAATCTATAGTTTGAAAAAGGGATTTTTTGAATAGACGGAACGACAAACGTGAATGAACGTGTTGCGCGTGTCTGCATATATATTTAATAACAACAGTGGATATACATGTAATGTAAATATACAAGTACAAGACGGAGCGAATACAGACTCACACACCCTTGATCTCTTTACATGTACGTATATACATATTCTATTCAGTGCTCGTACACTTGATTACTCGCACATTTTCGCCATTTTATATGTACACACATATACAGTCGCAGCCCGAGATTATTGCCAGCCGACATAATTTCGGTGAGTTGATGCTATCGAAAAGATGCGTCAGTGTATGTAAATCGAGAAAGATTATTTTCACCCGTGTGTGTTTATGACAAAATTGTAAACTTGGCGAAATATTATATCAGTTTCAAGTTCCAAGATTGTTCTCACGCCCCTTCAATCTCTCGAGTTCGTTCTTTCAATTTGCTATCGTTACTAGTTGCATTTTACAGTTTGCCTCTCATTCTATTTTATTATCGTCGTTACAAACCTAATCGCGCCGCCGCTCGACTTACTTTAGTGGCGACGTCCGCTATTAAGGTGGATATGAATTTGAGCAGCGTCTCGGGACCACTGTTTAATAATTCGTACGTTCGTGTTACACCTACGGTTCACCTCTCGTCTCTTGTATAAAAACTTTACGAAAATAATTGCTCTATTCGTAAAATCCGGCGACTCGCGCGTTTACCGATTTACAACTATAAGGATTCAAAGTGATTTTTCCCCAGCATCATCCCTTTATCAACCCCCTATCGCAAATCGCGCCCATGGACAAGCCGATCGTCGTGAAATCTTAAAGTGTATAACGAGCAGTTAATCGCGATTGCTCGGTCGCATTAAAAGTGCGATTCTTTGACAGAGAATTTTTTCAATAACGAGCTATGACAAGCGTCTCATAATTTCAGAAAATCGTCCCGATCGGAACAATTTGGACAAATTACGCATATGCAAATCCACAAGTATACGAGAAAAGATCCTATTAATTAATTCGGTACAAGAACAAACGAAAGTCTTTGATAACATCCTACAAATCGAACCGCCCACTCGATATTTTTCGAATAAAAGTGCAAGAAGCAAAAGAACCTACTAAAAACAATGAAAAATAAGACGCGTTTTTCTCACATATATATATATTTGCGTGAATCTTTTTTATTATATTTCGTAAGCGTAAGCCGCAAATATCTAAACATCCAATAAACGACAAAAGTACCAACTCGATTAACGTTTCTCGGTAAGAAAATATATATGTACGTAATCCTACAGTGTATATATATAATTTTAAGTACATAGTAGTAAATTGCTGACCTACATGTGGAGGTAGTGTTTACAAAGAGTCGATCGACTGACTTTTTTTATCGTCGAGAAATAAATTCTTTCTCCATTGTCATAATTATGGAATAAAAGTGTCGGAGAAAGAAGGATGCGGGTGTGGTGTCGATATAACAATGTGACTCTTACAAAGAGAATCTATGCCTTTTCTCTCCACCAGAAGGGTCGGCAAAAATATGAATAAATTACCTCTTCGCGAAACAGTATACATATACGAATTAATCCGTCTGAATAAAATGAGATATTTTACACACAATCCCTCGTTCATCGTCGTAATCGAAAATCCGATGATCAATTTTTCCACGCTATACCGCACTTTACCCGTTCGTGTGTCGCCTCCGATCGAGCGTATACCGTGTAAAGTGGTGCCTGCATACGCCTCCACTTCCGCCTCCCTTAATTACGCGGCTACTCCGCCGATGAGTGTCGCGCGCGGCGACTAATTGTCTATCATCACGAGCCGTCGAGAGACAACGAGTCGACTCGCGCATCCGCCCGCCCGCGAGTCATCATCCCGAGTCATCATCCCGAGCTGTCGCGCTAATTACGCGCCCGACGAGCGAAGGCTGATGCATGCAATCGTAACAACAAACTCGCGCACTTTTTTTTTTTAATTGGTAGACCTAACAAACTACCTCTCTCGCGTGTCCCTCAAAATGGCGTACAAATATCATATCGACATATAGAGAAAATCGCAAGGATCATTGAAGCGTAATCTTGTCGCGTCATCTTCGAGCGATTCCAGGGGAAAAAAGTACGGAACGCGCATCTCGTGTCGTATCTAAGCGATCGATCGCGCGGTAAACCTTTCTTAAGGACTATTGTATTACAAGTACGCCGGGGCTACATTACGACAAAATCCCAAAACCCGACGACGTCTTCCTCTTCCAAGGACAATGACAATAAGACGCCGTCTCGTGATCTCTCGATCGCTTTTCCGTCGCTCTGACTTCCGGCCCGAAGTAACAATCGTGTCGATCACCCGAGAGAGTGATCCGTAATTCTCTCGGACCGGCTGACTTTGGCCAGATTTCGGCTTCAACCGCGGGCTGACCGGAAGATGAGATCCGTGAGACGAGAAGACCGCCACGTCGTCTCTTCCCTCTCTCCCTCCGGTTTATCAACCCCGCGTCGAGCGGGTATGATTAAATCCGCAGAATAAAGCGAGACCACCTCGGGCAAGAAGACGCCGCGATTACACGCCGGTGTGGTTGAATATGTAGGAGACGTTGCTGTCCTGATGGACCGGCGGCCCGTGCCAGGCTCGTCTCGTCGACGAATTGTTGTTGTTGTTGTTGTTGACGTAATAGGAGGACTTTCTCATGCTCGTCGAGGAGGACATCATCGCGACGGTCTCGTAATACCTGAGCTTGCCGCAGCACCGACCGCTCTTGAGAATGGCGATGAAGCCGCGTCGGTACTTCTTGTTGAAGAAGGCGTAGAGGATCGGATTTATGCAGGAATTGCTGGCGCCCAACCACTGGGCGATCGGCGTGGCGATCGGCAAAATCTCGTCTTCTCCCTCTACGATGTCGCCACCCAGCTTGATCACGGCGAAGATGACGTAGAGAGGCAGCCACGAGAGAACGAAGAGTATGACGACCACGACCAGCATCTTGACCACCTTCACCTTCGACTTCTGCTGTAACCTCTCCATCTGGGCGTCCTTGGTGTCGGTGGGTATGTGCCTGCGCCACACCTTGATCCATATGAGAATGTAGCAGAGAGATATGAGAATCATCGGCAGCACGTAGCAGAGGATCAGGTTGCCGATCAGGAAGAAGAGCGTGCCGTCCTCCGGATGCGGCCACGTTTCCACGCAGAGACGCAGATCGGGCTCGTCCTCGTAGATGGAGACCAGATCGAAGAACAGCAACCACGGTGACGTCATCGTAAGAGCGATGAACCAGATCACGACGATCATCATGCGGGCTCGCCGTTTCGTGATTTGGCATTTCAGCGGCCACCAGATCGCCAGAAACCTGAAAAACATACATCGGACGGCTCTAGAATAATTATTCATTATTTTTATGTTTGCGTTTATTTCAATGGACTAAATCAAAACTAGAGAAAATTTTTCATTTTACGGAATCGAAATATTCAGTAAGAAAACGATTATTAAAAATGTATAACTTATTGAATGAATAATTGTTGAAATTATTCAAAATGGCATACTTAATTTTATTTTAATTTATTCTTCATTTAATTTTAATTGTTGAATTAAATGACGGTTCAAATTAATAAATTACGACAAAGCGCTCGCGTTCCGCGAGTTTGATTAACAGGCTCCTTCGTCGCGATGATAAATTTGTACCATCGAAAAGCATATATAGTCGTGGATTATAGATAACTGTCTGATTTATCGTATCGTTTCACGAAGAATGCAGAACACGGTCGCTTTACGAGACAGGTTCGGGCACGAACCCGCCTACTTGACGCCCGTACAACCGTTACCATTTTTAGATCTAACATATGGAATTGCTAACAAATGTTCCATTCGCTCTTTCGAAAGACACTCGCGCCCGTCACGCTCCGACAAGCATGCAAACCGCTTGAAAATAGATATGCGCGGGAGAATATCTTTTGTGTGACGCACACGCGAGAGTTGTTCGCTGTTCGACAAACAAGTCAAATTATATCTAAGACAAGCACATGTTTTTGTCGGTATCGATTTGATTCGATTACCTTGAAATACAAATAAATTCCATTAATTATATTATCGCAAGGCTAATAACATTGAGCATACTCTATAAGGGAGGTCTCCATAAGAAAAACTCATATATACTCGTATATACATTTTAAGACACATTTGAAGACATTATTTCTCTTGTCTCCTCTCTTTCTCGCTGGAAGAGCGATTATCCAATAATTTCCAAACGAGTACGCAAATGGCGTGCACCCGTGTGTCTAACGGGATAAGAAGTCGCGGGGATAAATCACTTTAGAACAATAGCACCGGACCATCGTTCACGACGACGATGACGCGAAACGAGAGCAAACTGCGACGATACTTTTGTTTTGGAATTCTCGTTAACCGGTGACGAGGCGTGTTCAAATTCAAAGGCGATTTTATGCCCGCAAATGAGACACCAAAGTGATATCTTAGTTGCGGGAGAGATAAAGACTCTCGCGCGCTTCTTATTAATTAAAATAACTTTAATATTTTCGTTGATGAGGATTCCGATAGAATTCATCGAATCGTTATTTTTTTTCAGGTCGATCCTCGCATCCGCTACGCGCTTACGAACGAACGCATCTTATCCGCGTTTTATCGGCATCATCGTCTTCGGAGACCTTCGTCGATTCGATGAATAAACTTTAAATACTTGTCGCTGCGCGTCGGGAGACCTTCATAAATCAACGCCGGGACCGATACCGATCTACGAGGGTACTCACAGAACGCGTCGTCACTTCCGGAATCGTATGGCGGCACGTATACGTCGCTCTTATCGCGATAAAGATATATATGTAATGCAAAGAACCCTTCTTCCCCGCCGAGTCTCGAGTGACGAGAAGCGAGTTGATGAAGAGCAAAGTTGGAAAAATCGCGGAAATCTACCTAGCCCAAGGTCATCTATTGTCACACGAGGAGGGGCGAGTACAATAAGAGGATTCGCGATGATGATCCCGAGACCAGGCATCTATATAAAGGGATCGATTGCCCGCAGTTGCAACTGTAGTGTCGTCCTGTGCATTGTTTGCCAAGGAAAAAAGCTGATAAAACACTTAACATGTTCAAACTGGCAAGTATATCCATCTCGTACATTGTGTGTATGTGTATGTCGATTTAATTCCGACCGCGAGATGTTCACTTCCGTGACGTTAATTTTTAAGTACCACGCGGGATGTTACACGCGACGTAAAATTCTCGTCTAGCGTCTTTATTTTCGATATAAAGCCAGCAATTTTTAAACAATCAAAAATGACACAATAATATATTACGTAAAATTATAAATGAATAATTCTATCTCAAATATTATCGCGAATATTATAAATCGTTTACGGTGGGTTCAACAATCGAATACATTCCGCGCTAGTGTTTGAACGTAACTATAGAGGAGTTACATACGATTGCGTAGGCAGTGCGCGTTCACGTTATAAATTCGTTAAATTTCCCTCGAATCGTTTGGACACTTCGTTTCATGAATCGTGCCTGTGACATTTTTTTTCGAAACACCTATCGAGAAAAATTCTAACGATCGCGAGACTAAACCTCTAAAATAAAAAGATCACGCGAAAATTATTAAATTACCAGAAGAAGAAAATGAATGACCACGAGAAGGGAGAGAAGAAAATGAAAAGAATCGTTCTTGGCACGTGCGATCGTCGCGCGGTGATTAATTGGAACGAGATGATATCGAGCTCGCGAGTCGCAAAAAGGGAACCGATCAAACGCGCCTCGGGCACACTCTCGACATTTTTCATAACTTTCTTCAAAACTGAGGGTGAGGCAAGCCTCTCGGAGTTCGGGCGACTTATTATCTTTTTTTTTTTTAACGCAATTATTCTTCGCAGATTCTCGCGATCGCGATGGTGATGGCGGTCACGTGGGGTGCACCAGCCCCGAAACCAGCAGGAGGGTTGCTGTCACCTTATCCTCCCTTGGTCTACCCTCCGTATGGAGGGTCGTATGGAGGATCGTATGGAGGGTCGTATGGAGGGTCGTCCTACGCAAAGGGAGCTTATCCGTATTATCCGGTGGTGATCCCTCTGGTGTATTTCAACGGCAAGTGGGTCCATCCGCTCTTCCTCTACTGATTTCAAGATCCGCGTCAAGGTCAACGTCAACACCGGCGCGAGACGTTCTCGTATATATTGACGCGCGGCTCACCGCAACGCGCCAAATGATTCTATGTGTATCACGTGAAATGTTTCCCGAATAAAGTATGCTTTTGTCGCAAACGCCGCAGTACGCTCGTTGATACTCTATAACGATTTCCCTTTCTGTCAGGCGCCGGCTCTTGCCAGCGCGTCTCCGATTAATTCTCTCGTCCGAGCTCGCCAGACTGAGCGCTATCAATTCTGCTGTCCGTTTGTTTCAATAATAACGCATAATCGTGTCGTTCTATCATTTTGTCTGTTAGAGCGATACTCATACTCATTAACGTAATTAAATTATCGAAATAACAAGTGAAATTTTAGTCTCGAAGTACCTACTAAAAATGTAAAGTAACACTATTGTGCATTCAGGAAGCAGATACGCGTTCGATATTTATTATTCATCGTTTTTTAATCTTGATGAGCCTCAGTTTTATAATTCAATTAACTCGAAGTCGTACGAACGAGAAAATAAATTAATAAGAGCGAGATCCAGGGGAAATAAATCATGTAATATTAAAAGCTCATAAATAATTGTATATGAGGTCGCGCGCAAGGAATATTAAAAATTATCGGCTAAATAACAAATAACATATCGATTCTTCTCCATCAATATAAAAAAAAAATGAGAATCGAACGCACTTAATAATTAACATAAAATTATGAAAATATAATTTTACAATTAGAATTCATTGCAATATTCTGTTTATCTAAAATTAACGTCAATTAGATTTAATTTCAATTAGAATTTATTACATTGTTTCATTCATTTATTACATTGTTCTATTTATCCAATAATTGTCGATTGTTCTATTTCTATATATATATATATATATATATATATATGAAATAATTGTTTAAATTATTGGTTGTTATTCATAATTATTAAAGACAAAACTGTCATATACTAGACACAAATCTTGGCGAAATCGTTCGAAAAATTTATTTTTCCGCCGTGCAAGATGTGCATAAGATATTAACGTATTAATGCATACTAACGCGCATGTATACATATTGTTCTGATAAAGGATATTACGATAGCAAAATGTAACCATGTGTATCAAGCAATTTCTATTATTATTATGCCTTTAAATTTATTCGAGAGAGAAGATGAAGGTGATAATCGTATTTTGCGCGAAACGATCGCGCAATATAACTATTACTAGTTTACCGTAGAGAGAAGAAGTGCATTTTATATGTCGTCACTAGGAAAATGCAATCTTCAATATTCTCTGGCATGAATGAAAAATTCATATTTCGTGCAAGTATACGCAATTTCATTTTATGCATTGTTTTTGTCGACAAAAATCTTTCAACGATTTATTTTCTAAAGTATAGCAGATGAATAAAAATAAGAAAATATCAGACATCGAGTGACATGTCGGATAATATGTTAATGGGACAGTTTCTCGTCGAAATTTGTTATTATTTTAGACAAAGCGCTTAAGATAATTAATTCAACTTTCCGTGACTTCTATATCCATTGATTTCGAATAGAGATCTCAACTTTCACAAATCATCAAGTATGAGCGTTTAGCAGTTTCCTCTTCCTTGTTTCTCATCTACATCTCATCCGAAATGCATGTCAGTGACCAATAAAAAGTAAAGATATTGAAAATCCTAAAGTAAAAATACTCGAGGAAGAAAGAAGGGCAGAGACACTCGTAAAATGTGTAAAATCGGAGTCTGATACTGATTTCGATGCTTGCGCATACGTGTGTATACATATATGTATATGTATGTGTGCTCGCGTACAAGATGGTGCCGTCGATATGTCTATAATATCTCTCTTTACACAAAGGATAAAAAAGTACGTCCGCGCGCACTCTGGTTTATTGCGCCCTTAGCAATAATATATATATTATACCCACGTTCAATAAAAGCGCTTACTGTATTCAGCGTGGAAATAAATGGCAAGATTGATAGATGTGCGGAATGGCGAACGGAAATCTCTTCGCAAAGTTAACCGGAAGGAAGTGAAGGGGAGGAGAAATGGTCTTCTCTTACTTTACGATAGCTCGAGAATTTGGGGAGAAATGTGACCAATAAGACTCTCGCTGGAGATTTGTAATTAAAATTTTATTAAAATTCCATATGAGAACACGAGGGTAGAGGGTTCGGGGATGATGGCGGAATGATCAAGGCGAAATTTAGGTCGATGAAGCCAAGACGAAAGACGAATGTAGGAGATTCTAGTGGCCGATTCTAGTGTGTAGTCCCAATTGGTCCGCTTCGTCGTGTGAACTCGGTCATGGTGGGCCTGATGATGACGATTCGCAACGGCGAGCGAAATCGGCGGGAATGTGCAATTTTTTCCTTCGAGCCGCGATCTTCTCCTTCGCGTCAAGAGGACGATTTCGATCGAGGAGGACGTGGAGGACGTATGTTTCTTTTTTTGTCTTTTTTGTTTTTCTTCCAGGGCTGTGTCGTCGTGAGACTCGGTGGTGGTGGGGAGTTTGATTCTTCTAATCTAACCGTGCAGAGCAAGGGGGACAGCACCATGACCAGCCAGAACAGTCCTGGTGACGACGGCCGGGCTGTGCACAACGGGAGCGATCGGCTGGGCAATCAGCTGGGCATGGACTGGAGCGACATGAGCGATCGCGGGAGCGACGACCGCCGGAGCGTGAATCGGGCCGGTGCCAGCATCGACAATGACGCCGGTCAGACCACCGGGGAAAGCAACTGCGACAGCCAGGATGGCAGCGAAGACAGCCTACGAAGAAAATTGTCAAGTAGATTTATAAAAGCGTCTTTCTCCTCGACCGAGTCTCTGTCTGTCCCTCCAAATGAATATTCGGATGTTTCGATCGCGCTTTAAAAAAATGCAGTGACAAAATGTAGTACGAGTGATTTCGCTCGCGTAGGTTTTTCGCTGGAAAGAGAGGTGAAGTTATTGTAAGCCGCGGTCGAAAAGAATCTTTTTTCTTTGTTGGGTACACGCGTGTATTCAGCGCGAGATAGCGACGACGAAAGAGTTGCCGCGGCTTGGAGAATCTGTATTTACTCGAGTTGTAGAAACGCGAGAGAGACTCGAGAGACGAAAAGAAAATCTCGGGTATCGTGGAAAATAAGAGCGCGCGAAATCGTACCTTCTCGACGCGCACTGGATCAATTTTTCACAAATCGTAGGCGGTTAAGTTTGACGTAAAAATTGGCGGATCGATGGAAAATGCTCGAAGGAAATGCGCGGCTCTGCAAAAGCAATCGGTGAAAATATGCGCCGCTCGGAAATTGAAAGGTCGTTTCAAAGGTCGAACTACGGTTCCATTAGACGCGTTGTGTATTCTGCATAACATTTATGGTCTCATCGATAGTCAATCGCACAGGCAATGATAAAAATGCAATCGGTAAATGAAACGGTTGCGGTTCAACATTTTGTAATTGTAATCGAAAAGAAAATTGCGGAAAGAGAGAGAGAGAGAGAGAGAGACAGAGATCGATATAAATTGTAATTTAGATGAATCGTGTGTTGGCTTACCAGCTTGAACATGTTGATTGGTTGTGGATTGCTTGGTACTTCTCGGAAGTAAGTGAGCTTATGCCTGTTTAGGCGATTCGAGAGTCTTATATACCGCGCGCAATTTTTTAAAATCACCATAAACTTGATCACGTGATCCATGGTATCAAGTATGACGATATACGTCGTATTAATTGAGTCAGCCGATCACCGAACGTGGTGGTGGAAACCGCGCAACCAATCGGTTATCGCGATACCAGTCCCAACGTTCGCCAATAATATGGTTCGCCAATAATGCGCTTTCAACCCCTTCAAGCATCCATCTCGCAAGAATTGGGTTAAGACACTCCAGTGACGTGAGACACTGTAAAACCGATATCCAACACGCACTACTCGCCACGCGAGTATACGAGTATCACACACGATCGCGTGTATACTACGTGGAGAAAAATTGCGGCTGGTGTTCACCACTAAATTTCAAACTCATTTTATAAAGATGCGATCGAGATCTAAACCCGCGACCTCGACCTTCTTCGTACTTTTTCGAGTATCGCGCGAATACTTCTTTATATGAGAGCGCGTTCTTTGTAGCCCAAAATTGTAGTTTTTGACAGTAAATTCTGGATTCCACATCCAGATATTCGACATCTTTATGTAGTATAAAGGATCTATTCGTGATAACTTTGATGAACTTAAACCGTTACATTTTCACGAATTTTAATTGAATAATTGTAATCGTATGTTTTTATTTTATATAGAAATATGATATCAACCATCAGGATTTATGTAGCAAAAATATGCTTTAAGTAGTTAATAAATGTTTTCACAAGAGTTATAAAATTCAATATACTTTATTCGTAAGTACCCATTTTGAGACTCTTAGCTCTAATATTTTATTATGATTTGATGGCTTGAATATTCTCAATGGTATATAGATATATTTCACGTCAGTTGTATAAATATATGTAGAGATCATTCTCTGCGCTCGCGTAGAGAGTCGAAATTCGGAGCGAAATCGCGCTAATTTTGATTAAGTTTCGCAACCTCGACCTTCGTCATCCTTTGCAATTTGAATTATGTATTCCTTTGAGCTCGTTGGAAGTTGAACGCGATGATCGGGGCAATCACGGAGATTAGAACAGTTCCTGTCATTCGGCGTCAAGAGCGAGCGTCTGAAATTAGGGAAAGGAGCAATTTAATTCGCCCAACAGAGCTCAGGAAGGTGCTCTTTCGGAAAGCGAATCAAACTTTTATCAATAAGAAATGTTACATAATTAATCGTGTCACGTTTCTCCCTTTCTGCATCCTCTAAATTGGACCGAGTTAGATAATGTCGCGGAGTGATATTATGACTCGAATTACGAATTAGTTTGTCGAGGAACGCAAATTATATATATATATATGTATTTAACACAGGTATATCGGGAATATCGCGTATCAACATTTCATCCGAGTCTTTTCAAGCTAATATATATATATATATATATATATATATATATATATATATATAGTGCAGAGCGAGAGAGTGCACAACTTTATATATCAAACATCGGCCGTCAATGTCCTGGGTGAACCACGAGCCAGCATCCTGCGTTGGTACTGATAGCACAGTTAATTATCTGTTGCGAGGGAACATTATGTGTCTGTGTGTTTGCGTAGACGCGATATTCCATGATACAAACACACATACATTCCTTGTATCGTGACGAAGATGAGATCCACCCAAATTTTCAGCATTGAAACTCCGCTTTGAATTATCAGCTTGTCGAAAATTTCACGAACCAGTTAAAATAACGTTGAAATAAAATATATTTGATCGTTCGTGGAATTTATCTCGCCAAATAAATATACGCGCGCTCGTAATTTGGGATGCTTGGAAAAACTCGTTGTATACATGTGAGTTTGTTGCGAAATCCTATTCACGCAGGTTCCTCCGATTTCAAGAGAGTCGAGCGCCGGTTCTCCATCCTGTCGTCCTTCTCCGACGCGAAACGAGAAGCATATGGGACAGGAAGAGGATATATATATTTTTGGCCTGGCACTCTTGGCTGCGTCGTCCGCCAAGAGTGACGAGAGTGAGGGAAGATGCATTCGCGCACGTGGTTGGGCGAAAAGACAATTCCACAAGTTCGGGACGATCCCTTTCGCCGAGCAATTCCCGGAAGATCGATCGTTTCCGAAGATCCCATAAAACTATTCCTAGGGGTTCGGAGAGAGGTCTCTCGTCTTCCACCCTTCTAGTCTTCTAACGTGAAATTGATAGCGCGAAACACATCATCGTTTGCTCCAAAATTCAAAAGTGTCCTCGTAAGTTCCGCTTCTTCAAATTTTTCCATCCAATCCCGTTTGTTATATATTTTCAATCGGGAATAATAATTTCGTGTCCTTATATATCGTCGAAACTTTCTCAAATCTGATTTTCCACGAGAGCTTCCGCTCTTTCCCGAGAGCTTCTCGTCCCCGATTCAGTCGAGCAGGTGCATCTTTATGGCGATAGCAATAATTTGCGCCATAAATGAAATACGAGGTCCACATTTCATTCTTTCTCTCTCGTAAGACGAGAGTCTCACGTACGGAGCCGCGCGCATATTAGAGTCAATTTATGCAAATGCGCGTGATTTTTTTTTCAAAATTGATATAAAGTGAAAATTATACGTTATTGAGAGTTAATAAAGTGTCTCTACGCGTAATAACGGTATGCCAATAATATGATACATATATACGATGATATACGAGCGAGACACACATACGCACACACACACCGAGACGCATTATTGACTTTATTAATACCAAATTACGACAATACGTGCGTTATGTCGTAGTTTATAATTATTATCGATAATTATAATCGCATTGCATTGCTGATGAGAAAATAAATATGTCATGGTGAACTCATGTCGTGTTGCGAAACGACTGGCGCAAGAAAAATATTAGATTTCATCAGACATAAAAATCTGATTTGTATATAATTTTCACGAAATTTGCCGGAAAAGCGTCACGATAATAAAACGATATAAAAATCTATCTCCGCCCGAATAATGGTATGTAATTCTCCAGACTTAATTGATCCCGTATAACAGGTTCGCTTGTGAAAATTTTTATATCAAGAATTGCTGCTGGATAATTAATTCGTTCCAATGATAGAATGGTCTTGATTACAGTATACAGGCATATATCACCACTCTTTCATCTATTAAAGTTTAACCTTAATCTCGCCTACAATATCCGTATTTCAGAAATAAAAGGTCCGTGTAAATGGCGCCGCCTCCGAATTAGCATATCGAGTGTAGCGAGAAAAAAAAAAAAAGAAAAAAAAGGAGCACGAGCTAGACTAATGGAGGCCAGCATCATGTGAGATACTAGCTTTTCCAGAGTGTCACGCCGCGCGGATATAAAAGACGGGACGAGTAACACGTACCTGTCCAAGGAAACCGCGACCAGGCTGTAGACGGAGGCCGCCACGGAGACGCCCTGTACATAAGCGACCGTCTTGCACATGAACCATCCCAGGATCCACGCTGAAACAGAGAAGTTCATAATTTATCGCTTCAAGTATCAAACTCACGGCGGCCACGCCGTCGAGAGCTTTTTAGCGCGGGCAACTTACGGCGGCTGAAATTCACGTGTTTGGCAAAAAAACGAATGCAAAGTGTACGAAGAGCACTTGGCGGACATACTAATTATACCCGCATTGCGAAAACCAAAATAAAAGAAAAACTATATTATGCAAAATATGAATTTGCTTAAGCGTAAAATTAGCGATAACGCAAATAGATTTGTTCTTCTTAAAGCAAACTGTATAAAATTGTATTCCAAAGTGGACTTTCTGTTTACAATTATTTACGTGTACACAAATTAATTAGCAGGTCATTTAAACGCAAAGAGTTGTTGCGCCGAACGTTTCTACTCGGAAAATTTAAATTAGGATCGATTAAACTAATATGAATAATGGAATGAAAAAAAAACGTAGCTGGCGATACGAACAAAAATAATTAGTATCTACTGTCATATTTACATTATTTAAATTTGTGTCTTCTCCAATTATAAGAATAAAATTACTTTTTCGAAGATGTACATATAAATTAATATAAAATAAGTAATATATATAAAATATAAAAATAACATCTGTGTTTTATATTATAATACAAAAAATTAATATTAAATATAAACATATATAATATTTGTATCGTGTTTGTATCAATTTTATTACGTATCACTTTGTCATTTGTGTCAAATTATTATATGTATTTTTAAAGAGAAAATAATTACTCCCACGAAAGTTCGAGGATAAAAAAGGTTGGAAACAACTAGGGTCATCGATCATTGTCCGCGATTGATGTCACGGTAAATAATTACCATAATTGAAAGCGTTTAATAACGCAATATGGTCAATGGAAAGTTTATCGCGTTCTCAGAATAATACTCAGTATTCAGGACTACATGGGAACGAGTGAGGAGGTAAATCCCTGTCGGAGAAAAGGTCGCTCGTACAAGTATCGAGCGATGCCTACTACTTCTGTGTGCAACATCATTGGGGTACAAACAAACATTTTATCTTCAACCAGATCCCGATCCCATAATTTTCGCCAGTTGGCGGCGCCAAAGTACTCTTTCACGGAAAAGTATTGCCATTTTTCCAAGTTTGGAAAGAATCGCGCTATAAATTTTACGGAATAGAGAGGAAAACGCGGGACTAGAGGCTGCAACTCGAGACTTTGATAACAAATATCGCGAGGTGGCAAAGTATTAAGATGGGTGTTGCCGGTGTGTCGAAAGCTGTGCCTGTTAATCGAATTCGATCGCTTTCTTTTAATCGAGCGACGACGACGCGTCGCCGCGCCGGTCGAATCAGGTTCGGTTCGCGTGTTATTCGACACTCGTATAGTACAAGTATTGTATGCACCGAGAGAGTGAATGGTGTACATACATATATACGCAACGAGGTCGCATAGAAAGGAACCTCCCGTGTATACTATTGCAAGCCGATAATTACTTGTTCCATCGAATACATAATTCTTCGATGCCGATAAGGCGAGTCGCGTGCATTAATAGTTCGCTTCGAAGGGTTTTATAAACGAGTGTGCGCGTTAATTCTCGCAATAGAAGGCATATTGATCATTTCTGAAAATTCAATCTCCGGAATATCAATTGATAATAAAATAATCATTTTTTCATTTATTTATAATAATATTTTATTAGTTTTTATTATTTTATCCCAGTATAAGATAACAGAGAGTTTAATGAAATTTTTGATTAAAGCTTAACTACTTCAAGCATTTAAAGTATTAATGTTAACTTTTCTCAACTTTCCAATTACATATTAAAATAAATCCCAAATATACGTTAAAATCTTCTTGTGCACATCTACCATTTAATGACGACTCTACACGTTTTATTGCATAAAAGTAATTAACTTTCGTGCGAGTAAAGCAATTTTTTCATAATGTTCAATCAGATATATTATGAATCCTACAGATTTTTAAAGTGCATGAATGGGAATTTAAATAATAAAATTATGACGTGTCTTTATAGAAGGTGTTTCAAAATTAAACATACTAACTTAAAATATGAATTTAATCTCAAAACAAGTAAACAAATTTCTCTAGAGAAATGTCCGCAAATACCTTATTCGAGACATATTACACGGTTATATAATATGATACACACTTGTCTCCGTATCTGTACATTGTTAATTTTACAAGAAACCATATATATGTACAAGTACCGTATCGATATATCATTAAAAAAATATTTCGCGATTTCTTCAACGCTTTCATGAACTAAATATAATTTTGGTCTAATAATAAATAAGTGGACATTTAGATGCCATTTCTTTTGCAATATTTTTAGAAAAATTTTTTATTTTTAAGTTTCTGAATTCATATTTTAATCTTGAAACGCCCTGTACGTATATATAATTCTTCATCACAAAGAGTGAAAACAAGATTGTAACAGTAAAAGGAAATTAAAGAGACCTCGAAAAGTTTTGAAATTCAATTCATCAATTCGATCTTTTGGTTTCAAAGCTTAGACAGAAAATTCGCTTTCGCTGAATGTTGGTTTGATTCGCGCAATATTCCCGGTAAGTTTTACGGTTACAATGAACGAGGACCTTCAAAATACCGTGAAAAATATCGTGGTCATTGTCGCGCTAATAAGGACGCGCGTCATGGATGACGGAAGTTGAATCACGGAAGAAACTTTCACGGAGATCCGCTCGAAAGTCCCCGTACATCCCCGACGGGACATTCGGAAAGTTTTTCACTGAATAATGCGCAGACGTTTACGTGACTAGTGTGTAGGGGATACAAGTTTCCGAGACGAGAGCAGTCCACGATTTCGAGATAAACGCGAGCTAGTTGGAGTTAAATCGACGTCTTTGTTTCTTCTTGGGCGGCAAAACTTGCTACTTATTTATTATCGGGGGAAGAATTGCTAGACGGATAGATAACACGTATCCGGAGTGGAGGATATACACATCAGGGTTCGCGTCAAGATCGTCGAGGTAATCTGGCGCATGAATAACTTGCGACGAGAGATGGAGAAAAGAGGTAGCCTCGCGCTACATATATAATCGTTTTATTAGCCGTTTGTAGCTATGTAATTACATAATCGTCCCGTGCGAGTGGTATTAGTATTTTCCTTTCTGTTTCACGGTGAGAGAGAGAGAAATATCGATTGCGCCACTTTACAAAGGCTAATGCAAGTGGAGAACCAGTTTCATAACGCAACGTATAATAACGATTGATAATGATGATAAACACACTCCGACAACTACGCGAAAACTACGCGATTCGCGCGCACGTGTATTATTTTTTTGCATTTTTTATTTTTTCGGTATTGAAAGAGATTTTCTCTCAACAGCAAGGCCGCCCAAATAGTTTTCACCAATGTTGCGCGACTACTTTATACATGTTTTTCGATAATTCAAATTAATGCCCTGCTCGTTCTCTCATTCATCTACCAACTCTAATAAATGTAAAATGTCACATATTATTACTCGCGAGTCACACTCATTATTTATATTTTTTATTCACCACCTTCATTTACATCGGTAATAATAATATATAATTTTCTGTTCGAAATTGTCATTTTAATTTTGTAGGTATTTAATTTTTTATGGTGACTTATAGTTAATTATGTACATATGTCATACTAATTACATCACATTATAAAAGATGTAAAAAACTGTGAAGTCACCAGATGATAATTAAAAAATGATAGTAATTTAATCGACCAACTCTGGCAAAATAAGTGATCTTAACATATTATATTAAATTATAATAAAAAACCTAAAACGATAATTAAAAAGTAATATTGATACATTTGTATGCATGTTTTATTCAATTTTTCTACTTTTTACAGACTTATTATATTTGTTTTTACTAAAATTTTTATTTATTTATTGTTAATACGAAAAATAATTTACTCTTTCGAAAAACTGTTTTAAAATGACAGAAATAAAATATATATGTTTAGAAAAATTAGTGCATTTTAAACAAGTACAAAACAATAGAATTATTGCTATGAAATAAAGGCAATAATTCTATTGATAATTTTGTAAAAGTTTTTCATAATTTTGAATAACTCATCCTATCAAAATGATTCATTAAATTCATAACTTTATAATAACGCGAATATATTATTATCAAACAAAGACAAGATAATTGCATAATTTTATAAAAATTATAATTTAAAATAAAATGCATATTATAATTTCTATTGTGCGATTCACGTTTCTCTTTGTATACAGTCGGAAGAACCTTTTAAAATCTATCGCGCGAAAAACTGAAAGAAACAATTGCGTTTGAAAATGTAACCATTTCTCGGTGACAGAAGTCGAAGGTAATCTCGAAAACGCGCAATGTCATGTGTTAATGACGTTTTTCCTTTGGCGGCCTTCACTCGGCGCAAGAAAAAAGGCGAAAAAGGTCGCTCTTGATCGCCTACTATAACCATAAGCAAGGTCCGATCAGATCGGTTAATGGTAAGTGTATATTATAGAGTCACGTCTCCGATCGTAAAAATGTCAAATTTTTATTTGCACATACGTATGTGTATATAGACGCAACGCACGAGCAATGCCGTCTGTCTGCATATCACTTTCACTATCTACGGTCTATTGGATAAGCCAATATACATTCTTCGCTGGGTAAAATCTACGCACACAGCTGTGATCCACACTCTACGTCACATTATGCTTATAAATGTCCTATTAGTTTAGCTAAACAGGAAGAGCTTACAGCTGTTTTGCGAGCCGAAAGCATAGTATATTACTAAGGGGGTAGTTAAATGACAGAAGAGAATCTCTCATTTTGTATATTCAAATATATATGTGTGTATATTGAGATCATTTCAGAGATAGATCTTCCGAATATATATATGCATATATCAGCTTCTCGTTAAATTTATTTCGATTATTCTAAAAAGAGCATTTCAGAAGTGGACCAAGTATTTTAATTAAAATTAAATACATCTACCCTATCAATTTTTTACAGCACATTTCTGAAATTATATT